ATAAATTCAACTATCCCTCCTCCTCAAAACCCACACTCATACACCTCTGGGTTTTACTTTGAAGGATCTTTATACGTACCACCCCACGAACAACCAGACCACTCCACTGTTCTAGGAGGCAAAGCCCATAAACAAGTTCCGTGGAATCTGGGAGGATTGTGTGTTAGTTTGTTTTGTGTGTGGTTTTCTAACAACAGTTCTCATCATCGACAGCGTTCAAGTAATGTATATAGAAGTAATCAACAACTGAAGAAAAGTATGTACATGAGTGTTCAGTATATATATATGTTTCTGAAGGTCAGCCATGAGGCGCTGACTGATGTTCTTCGTCATGGTCTGGATTCTGTCACGTGATTGTCACGTGACTAGATCTAACTAGGTATTTGTGTTATCCGCGCTAATAGCAGCAGCTTAACAACTTATGTCTGTCATGTGATCAGATATCAAAGAAAATGAAAAAGAAATTAGCACTCTAACTAGCGCTCTGGCTCAAGTCGTGACATTACCCCCTCTTTAAGACTTTCGTCTCGAAAGTAGGGGTCCATCTTTCCGTTTTCACAATTGAATAATTGTTTCCTGACTCTTGTTGTTGTGAAGTTTTCAAAAGGTTGGAATTGTAGTTGAAATCGTATCCGTCGAGGTGCACTAGGGTTGTTATCGTGGAATATTTTTACTTTGTCTGGTGAGTTGGTTAGGTGTTGTTCAGGTTCCCACGTGCGTTCCTCTTTTGGGTAATTTTTCCAATGTACTAAGTATTCCAATTTTCCCTTTTTTAGACGTGAGTCTAGAACTTCTTCGACTTCGTATTCTTCTTGTCCGTCTATTATTACCAGTGGTATCAGTTTGGGTTTTTGTTGAGAAGGGAATTGTGGTTCCTTGTACGGTGTAAGTTTCGTCTCATTAAAGACTGGATGAATAGGCCGCCATGTTGGTGGTAGTGCTAGTTTGTAGGCTGATTCACCTATCTTTTCCAGTATTTTGAACGGGCCATGTCTCTTATCGTCCAGTTTCTTAGCCGGTCGATCTGTCGAGATATTGGTCGCTTCTACGTATACTTTGTCTCCTACTTTGTATTTCACCGCTTCTCTTTTCTTTGTATCGTACTGTTTTTTCATCTGTTCGGCTGCCTTTCGTAGTGACTCCTCTGCTTTCTTCCTTGTTTCTGTCATCCTTTTTACGAAATCCTCCGCTTTTTTGTTCTTTACCTCCACTCTCACTACTTCCTGTGTTCTTGGATGGTGTCCCTGATTTAGATAGAATGGGCTATATCCTGTTGCAGAGTGTTGTTTGTTGTTATATGAGAATTCTGCTAAGGTAAGCCATTCTGCCCAATCATCTTGTTTATGGTTTATGAAGATCCTAAGATATTGTTCTATTTCTTGATTGATCCTCTCTGTTTGTCCATCCGTCTGTGGGTGCCATGCCGTTGATGGGTTTGCCTTTATCTGAAGAAGCGTGTGTAGATCTTTCATAAATTTAGAAACGAACTGCGGTCCCCGATCTGAGATGATCTTTTCGGGTATGCCGTGGTTTCTAAATATGTGATCTCTAAACAGTCATGCTACTCCTTCTGATGTGATTTCCATCTGCGTGGGAATTACCTTGATCATTTTTGTAAATCGATCTACTACTACCATTATCATGTTATATCCCTTTGATTCTGGTAGTGGTCCGATTAGATCTACCGATATGATCTGCCAAGGTTTATCCGGGATCTCATTTGGATGGAGCGGTGCTGCTTTCTTTTTGTGGTCTGTTTTGGTTCTTTGGCAGACTTCACATCCATCTACGTATCTCATGATATCTCTGTCCATGTAGGGCCACCAGTATTGTCGAGTGATTAGCTCTTTTGTCTTATACCTTCCTGGATGGCCTGCAACGGTAGAGTCGTGGTTTCGTCTGATAATTTCTTCCCTCAATGCGGCGTCTTTTGGTACATAGATCCTGCCTTTGAATACTATGTAGCCATCTTCTTCGAACCATCCGTCTTCTCTCCTCTCTATCTTTCCTTTCATCTTTTTTATCAAGTCATCCACATTTCCTTTTCTTTTTGAGATCCATTTTGAAATCTCCAACTCTTTTTCCTGACTGTCTGCAATTCTTTGCCTCTGTTCTGATGAAAGAGTCATTCTTACAAACAGTTTCTTGTCTAGCAGTACAACGTCTTTGTTGTCGTTTTCTCCTTTGTTGTGATCTGATCGTCTCGAGAGTAAATCTGCTTTTATATGCTTCCTTCCCGGCATGTGATGTATCGTGAAATGATACTGACTCAACTCCGTCATCCACTGTGCCTGTCTTCTGTTCAACTTCTTTGGTTCTTTGAAATACAGCAGATTTTGATGATCTGTCCATATCTTGAATTCTTCTTCCGCATCTATTAAGTAATGTCTCCATTCGTTAAGTGCCGTCATGATGGCGAGAAGTTCTTTGTCATAGATCTCGTAATTGCGTTCTGTGGGGTTTAACGCTTTGGAGAGATATGCAATCGGCTTCCAGTCATCTTTTTGTCTTTGCGATAAGACAGCACCCATTGCGAAGTCACTACTGTCCGCTTCTACTTTGTATTGGCCATGTGGTACTGGGAGAGCTAACACCGGGGCTGAAGCTACGCGTTGTTTCAATGTGTTGAATGCTTCGCGTTGTTCATTTTCCCGTTAACTTGGTCAACGGTTTGGCTACTTCCCCGAAGCCTTCTATGAATCTCCTATAGAAATTTACAAAGCCCAAGAACGCTTGTATGTCTTTTTTATTTTTGCACTCTGGCCATTTGCTAATTCCTTCTACTTTCACTGGATCCATGCGAATTTCGTTTTCTGAGATGATCAGTCCCAGATATTCTACTTCTGTTTGCTCGAAATCGCATTTTTCTGGTTTAAGATAGAGATGGTTTTTTCTTAGGATTTCTAATACACGTCGCGTCGTTGCTCTGTGTATTTCTATATCTTTTGTGAATATCATAATATCATCCAGATATATGATCACCAATCCTTCATCTATTAATTCCTTAAAAAGTATGTTCATCATTGTTTGGAATGTGGCGGGGGAATTTGTCAGTCCAAAGAACATGACTAATGGTTTGAATAACCCCCGATTTGTTCTAAACGCCGCTTTATGCTCATCCCCTTCTCTCATTTGGATATTGTTATACCCCCATCTTACGTCTAGTTTCGTGAAGTATTTAGCTCCACTCAATTTGTCTACTAGTTCTCTGATCAACGGAAGTGGATATCTATTTTTGATAGTGATATCGTTTAACTTCCTATAATCTTGAACCGGTCTTAACTTTCCGTCTTTCTTTTTTATGAAGAAGAAGGGTGATGCAAATGGGGACTTCAATGGTCTTATCCGTCCTGATTCCAGATTTTCCTTTAGGAATGCATCTAGTTCCTCTTGTTCTCCTCTTGCTAATGGGTAGATCTTGCAATCTAGGGAGTGATCTCCCGGTACTAGTTCAATTGCGTGATCCCATTGTCTCCTTTCAGGTAAAGTGTCAAATTCCTTTTTATCAAATATGTCTTTGTATTGATGAAAGTATCTTGGCACTATCTTTTCGAATCCTCCTTCTTTTCGATCTTTGCCTGCGGCTTCCGCTAGTTTCTGTGCCATTGTGCCTTGGGCTCTAAGGTGGTAGTATTGATCGTCGATCGTGGCATCTTCGAAATTCTGGAGATTTACCTGTATCATCCTCTCGTCCTCTCCTAGTTCTTCGAAGAATACTTCCGGATCCTCCTCTGGATCAGAGATTCGGATTCTCGGTTTGCATTCTTCGGGACATCTTTCAAAGGTTAACTTTGACTCCTTCCAGTCTATTTTTGGATTGTGTTTGTTTAACCACTCATGTCCTAGAAACATTTTCCCGTTACCCAGATTGGTTACGGCGAGATGTATCTTTTCAACGTGACCGTCGATTTCCATGAGTAGTACCACAAATTCATTGATGGCTCCATTCTTATTAAGAGTTCCATCTGCATTATAAACTGGAATAGGTCTAGGTATCTTTCTGGTCTCGTATCTTTTGTCTTTAACAAATTGGGAGTCAATGCAACTCCCCGTGCATCCACTATCCAATAGTGCTTCGACCGTTTCTGTTTGGAGAGTATCTAGTGTAGTAAGCTTACATTTTACGTTCATTTGATTGCCTTGGGTGCCCCTAATGTACTTTTTAGGGGAGGCAATCTCTATGATTGCTTGTATAGCTTCTATTTTTGGTAACCGGTTGATTTCATTTATCATTTCCCGGGTTACTTCTCTAGTTCTCTTTTTGTGTGTCCAGGCACTTAGAATCCCAATGGATCTTTCTTCCTTTTGGTCTCTTAGCCTGTCTACTACCCACTCTGGGGTCCAAACTTTTGTTCTAGGTTTTTTTAAAGGGGTTCCTGACCTTTCTTCTACAGTCTCTGCTGCGTTTTCCTCCGTAGAGTTCGCCGCATTGGGTGTAGGAATTTTAGTGTCTATCGTAAATGCTGCGCTTTTTAGTGATTCGCCCGCCGTCGGAACTGCGGATGTCTTATCACTCTGCGCCGCTTTTACTTTAGTTGCATCTTTTTCGTTTCTGATTTCTTTCTTTGTCTGGGTGGAAATAATTTTATTGTTATCCGCGCTAAAGCTGCAGCTTAACAATTCTGGTTTGTACGTATCTACAGTTAAAGGAAGAAATCGATTTGAAACATTGCTTTTAGGCTCAGTCGGTTGATGCGGTACCGCTGGCCTCTTTCAAAACCCTCTAGGCGTTTTTCTCTTTCCTCTTTCGTCATCTTTTCTAAGACTTCGCGGATATTGAACTGCGGCTTCTTCTTTTGTGCGTCTTTGCACTCGAAGCTTCTATGTCCTTTCTCTCTGCATCGGTAGCATCGTCCCTCAGTGCAGAACTTTGCTTTATCTACCTCCATTCGTTCTCCGTTACCGGTATAGGTATACCCGGTTCCGTCTTTCTTCTTTTCTCCTTCTTTCTTTTGTTCTGAATAAGGTTTCCTTCCGGTTTTGGAACCTTTCTTCTCTTTTTATCTTTCTCTCCAAATGTAGTCCATTCTGATGAGTTCTTTCTTCCATTCCTGGTAATCTTTAGGAATGTGTCCACCGTAGATCACCCTGTCTACTAGCGGTTTATTCATGTTTCTCCTTAACAGGGAGATTAAGAACTCTTCATTCATTTGGTTTGTATATCCCGCCCATCTTTTCTTTTCTTCAAACCTTTCAAAAAAGGCTTGGGTGGTTTCATTGCCCTGTTTTAGGGTCAATATTTCGTTTTTGGCAGTTTCTTTTTCAAAACTGTCTTTGAATCTTTCTTCCATTTTATCGGCAAAGTACGGCCAGCTTCCGTATGTGCGCATGATGTTGAACCCTAACTGTTGAGCATCGACCCTATTCTCTAGCCAATCGGTTCGAAAGGCCGCGGCTTCTCCTTCTTTCATGAAAGATAGCACAAAGCTGATCTTTTTTCTGTCATCATTAAAATAGGCGGCATCGTCTTTGAAGTGCAGAAGTAAGGACTCCCTGAAGGCCCTGTACTTCTTCTTATCTCCGGAGAAATTCTCTGGTTTCTCTAATGCTGTCCTACTTCTTTCCACCCTTTCTGGAGGTGGCGTTGCTTTCTTTTTGAGTCTTCTTTCTAAGACGCTCACTTCTTTGAGCGCCTCGTCGAGCTGGGATTGATATAGAAGCCTCATTTCTCTGATCGCTTTTTCTACTTCTTGTTTTACGTATGCTTCTAATGATGCTTCTTTCGGTGGGGGAGTTTCTATTCTGGGTAATGAGTCTATCATTTCCCTGGTAAAGGCGCTGTGCATGCTGTTGGATGGCTCGGGCAGATCTCGATATTCTAGGTTCGACATTGAATCTGAGTTGGGGAGGAGGGGGAGTTTCTGATTTGATCACGGGAGAGGGGTTTCTGATTTGTGTTATTTCTGGTAGAGGAAATTGTCCTCTAAAGACGTAATCTCTGGAGTAGACGCGTTGCTCTCCTATCCAGATATACAATTCTCTACTTAGCATAGAAAGGAATTCCCCAGTGATAAGCTGGATCAATACACCTCTTTCTAAGTTCTAAGTAGTCTATCTTTCTCTTTGAATCAAGGTGGTCCTCTTCTGCCCACCACTGATTATGTATGTATGGTAACTATTTTTGTATTTTATGAATTTTATGTAAAAAGTATCGTAATAAAACTGGGTCCGAACGGTTGTCCAGTTGTAACCGGCTTATTAGGCTCTTGGTTCTTCTCCCGACTGGCGGACGCAAATGCGCGGCCTGGTCAGAGGAAAGCAAAAATGAAGTTACGTAAAAATGAGAAAATCCCTCTGGTTCCACACCAAAGGAATTATAGTGATATAAATGTAGTTAGAGGGGAATTGTGACGAAGGAGTCTTGGGAGGAGGAGGGTGATATATTGGCTGGGAAGAAGGAGACAATGATATCGGGGCGAGCGGGAATGTGATTGAGTGGAAGAATAGGTTGGGTGTGAGTTTTGTAAAAGATTTTTAGTAGGGTGAGGGTGATGATGATGATGATGATGACAATGATTATGATAGTTGCTGTTACGTTCATGAACAGTACTCGTTACGAGTTGTTGATTTTGTAAGATCCAATCCCTTTTGCCAAATTAACGGAGGGATAAGTTCTCAATCAACAAGTAGCGTTCAAGTAATGTATATAGAAGTAATCAACAACTGAAGAAAAGTATGTACATGAGTGTTCAGTATATATATGTTTCTGAAGGTCAGCCATGAGGCGCTGACTGATGTTCTTCGTCATGGTCTGGATTCTGTCACGTGATTGTCACGTGACTAGATCTAACTAGGTATTTGTGTTATCCGCACTAATAGCAGCAGCTTAACAACTTATGTCTGTCATGTGATCAGATATCAAAGAAAATGAAAAAGAAATTAGTGCTCTAACTAGCGCTCTGGCTCAAGTCGTGACAAAGAGGGTGAACAAAGATAAGGGGGAAGTGGTATAGAGAGACAAAGCACACAGGAGGAAAGCCCCAAAAAAAGTTCAAACAAAAGAAACAAATAAACATAAACCAGATCATTGGCCCTGCATGAGTTGCAACGAGAAATTAAAGTATGCAAACCTGGTCACCTCCAGGACCAAGAGTATATCTCCAAAGTACTACTGCTCCACAAGCTCTACATAGCCTTGATTCTGCTAGGTTCTGCCAGCACAAATATCTGAACTTTTGGCATCTGCCATGCTACTCTGCCAACACTAGATAAACCATACAAAATCTTTAAATGAATCTGTTGTACCAGTGGCTATGATAGTTTTATTAGTGGGTATAAATACCACCCCCTTGGAGAACCTGTCCATAACTGCCATTACCAAATCATACCAGGAGTGTGTGAGGGTCTATCAGCTACCTCGTCCTCCTTGCTTATCATCCCTTTGCTTGTGTTGGTTGTGCACTAGGGTATTACACTTCAGTTGTAACACCAGAACTAAGCCTCCTGAGGTATTCCACTGAAAAGTCCCATAGTTAAGAGGTTCAGAGGTCCAAACCAGTTCAAACCAGAATTGAAGCAATATGAACCAGGTTCAGTTTGTTGGAAATATAGGATAAAGGCAAGAGATAGTGTAGGCACCATATTTAGAAGGAGCTGTGAATCAGCTGGCTCATGCACTTTGATGAGGATAAATTTACTTACAGCTTTACTCCCATTTTCTTCACAATTTATAAATCTTCATAGCAACTGTATCCACTTTAGATGTGACAACACCAACAAGACACAGTGGCACTGGAGCACAACCACAACAACAACTCAGTGGAGGAAAGGGAAGTGTACAATCTATCAAAGAATGGAAGTTGTCATACTAATGTTGGTATACACTAGAAGAGGACTTGCTGAGTCCCTCCCCATGTATTGCTCCAATATATATACTAAAACACATGAGGTACTGTACAGTTGTAAATAAAGTTTAAAGTCCAATGTCTAGCATGTGACTGGTCACATGATGAGTCTAGACACTGGTCAGGTGATGTGTCATATGATTGGTCATGTGACTATAAAAAGTCCGGAAATGTAAAGTAAAGTAAATGGTCACATGATCAGTCATGTGACTTGGAAAATAAAAAATAAAAGTACAAAAAGTGAAGCATAAGTAGGTGCTGGTATGTCAATTGTAACATCAGACTTTTCTCTAAAAGCTGAGGTGAGCATATACCTACTTATATGTTTAGTTTAACATTTACTTACTTCTGTATCTAGGATCTTGTTTGACTAGGTAGAATCTGAATGTACCTCAGGTTTTCCCCAAAAAGCTGAGTATCTTGTTTGACTAGATTGTTATAAGACAGCTTGTCCAGTTTGAGGTTCAGCAAAAGATGTTACGATAACACAATTTTTGGACCTTTAAATTTCATTCTCCTCTTCAACTTTCTTCTGTTATTTTCACACACTGTGCCATGTGACACTTTCCCTTTTGTTCAAACTCCACCTTCTTGCGCTGCGGTTGGCCGGTTAGGGCTAAGTGATTAGGGTAGAGTTAGGGTAACGTTAGAGATAGGGGTTTGCTCCCTTAACTGTGTTTCTTTATTTTTAGATACAAGTATCTCACACAGTGGGGCTGGTCACACAGTGGGGCTGGTCACACAGGCTGTGCCCCATGACATCATCAGCCACTGTCTTCATCAACTGTATAGTACATATATACAAACAACCTGTAGTAGTATATATACCCCAATAGATCAAGGAGACTCCTCAGCGAATCCTCCTATTGTTTACCCACAACTAACTTGGTCCTATCCAAAGGGTAAACACTCCCACTCACTTCCTCTCTAAGCTTTGTCTGAGTTGTGCACCAGAGTACAAAACTTTGGTTGTAACAAAAGATGCCTCCAAACTGAATTGAACTTTACCATCCTTAGACTGTTCATGGAAGCATTTTTAGTGATTAAACCTAGGAGTGTCTAAGTTGAGGCTCCTATGGGCAGGGGGAGGGGGGTTAGTCTTTGGGTCAGTATTCAGGTGGCACCAACCATTTCATCACAGTGTCCACCAACACTGACCACAAAGACCACAAACATCAGGAAGTATCTGAATAAATTACGCTTATCTTTCCCCATTCTCCACTCCCCCAAAAATACTCTATATAAAATTTAGATCCTTCATAATTAATTTCAATACCTTTGGATACTCAACACAATCCTACATAATAATAAATCAAAATTATAATTCAAAGAAAGAACCATAACTTCTAGTGCCTTTACAAACTGGAACTCACAGAATTAATCCTTGGATAAAATCCCAAGATAAAACTGATCTTCAAAATTCAAACAACCATGTTACATTTTTACACCCCTTACTCAAAGTTCTAACTATCAAACAATCCTTCCCATACACAAGAAAACATCCCTTTAACACACATCTCCTCTTTGCAGTCACTCACATCCCAATATTCAAAACACTCCTTCCCTGAATCACTTGTCATCCAACATAATCCCTACATCTTCCCCAACACAATTCTATGCCCAAACATATAATGCAACATCAACACATAACATACATATGAAACCTCAAGAATATTAAAATGCCCACCTAATATCACAATGCTCAATATTTGTTGAGCTGATCCATTCCTCAATCCATTCCCTTCCTTGAAGTATTGTCAAGTTACATCCCCTCCAAATTGACCAATCAATGACAACCAAAAATTCTGGACAAGATGGTATGGCACCATAAAAACCAAAGAAATTGTATCCTCTTATATAAGGTGGAGACTCTTTCATTGCTGGGATAAAAAAGACAAACTAGTAGCAATAATTTTTGCACCATTTGATTGGTGCAAAAACCCTTCAACCCTAATTGAGCCATCTCAATTACAAAAAATCACACAACACACTTGTCAATCAATCACACAATCATTTGGTATAATTACAAATTTCCCCTGTTGCTGTTCCTGTCATTTCCACTATTTATCCTCTCTTAACTGTATGTTATCAGTGTGGATAAAGTCAGTGTTTTGACTTTATTGGTACATGTATTGGACTTAATTCTTTTACTGAAAGAATAAGTCTCAGTCTAGTAACAAAAAGACTCTGTATTTTAGAAATACCTGAAAGAATAAGCCTAGGTATTTTGTTGTCAGTAATGAAAACAATGTCTACTGTCAGTACTTGTTGACATAGTAAGAAGTATACTTTGAACTACTAATACTTTACAACCTTTCCTTCACACATCTTCCATTATCTTCATTTATACTTACACTTTCCGCTCTTTCTGAACATTACATAAGCATCGGACTTTGAAACACTGTCACAAAAAGTCGGACATGTCTTTCTCGACACCTCAGTCTTTACAATAATAGACTGAGGTATGCATAACATTCACTACAGATTTATATCAATCACTAACAAATACCTTACAGTCTTTCATTTGACAGGTACTTTACAATTTGTAGAGTCTTTACAATAATAGACTGAGTCTTTCATTTGACAGACAGACATTTTAATAGCACATCAGTACTCACCTCAGTCTAGTAACAAAAAGACTGTGTGAAAGTCCCATAACCGAGCATAAAAGTAGAAGGGAAAATTCCGAAGATTTGTGTCTAGAATAGAAAAGAGTTTCCCACAGTTAAAGCTGAAAAACTTGTACTATAAAGATTGTATGTAAGTCTATTATCTAGGATCAAAATTAAGATAATAAAGTCTAGAAAATGTTCAGGTCATCCAACAGCATGCCATGTGCCAGTACTGCTTGTGTTGATTATGTAGTATAGCATATACTGTACATTGATAATGCGTAATTTACTGTTTCGCAAGTCTGAAGATATTTGATAAGCTAATCCAATTGATATTATTCCAACTTTTACTCCGTACTAGTGACGATATCGATAGTCTACAAGAAAACATCCGCCAGAACCTTGACTAACAAGCAGGCAGATCTATTGAAGCCACAATTCATGTACAAGCTGAAGTGAGAAGAGAGAATGAAGATAAAGCAAGGTCGCGCTAAAATCGTGTTTACAAGAAGAGAATAAAACATAGGCATATCGCTCTCGTCTTTTCGTTATTCTCTCCATCCCCTTAGAATATCTCCTCTATACTATCATACAACTCGCTAATCAGCATTGTTCCGTGTCATTGTTTCCGTGGGGATCAAGGCTCATTCATCTCTTTTTCTTGTCGACAACAAGATAACCAAGCGAACCACATCATCGTCCGCAATTGCAAAACGTCTTCCTTCCATACCATCGACTGGTTCTGCTCTCGGAATTCGCGTGTGAGCTTCTCGCAACGCGAGATGTTCTCAGGACTGACAAAGTCCACAGCAACCTTGACACAGTCTGCCAAATTACACACCTTTCAAACCAACGTTTTAGAAACCATATCAGACAGAAAAAAACGAGAACTTACCTGATGCGCACAACCGGCAGGTATAAATACACCTTCACCAGGCTTTTGATACACGCGATGGCTCTTCACTTTGTATACGTCATACAGCTCTTTTCTTAACTGAGCATCCAAATAGAATTGCTGTGAGTGAATAGGATCGTGCTGATACGAGCCTTTGAACTTCTTTCTGAGGAAGTTTCGGAGCTTGTCCGCATCCTCCGCACGGAATAAATCCCATGCAGCACATCCTGGCTTACCCTCCGGAGTAGGCGAAGCATGTGTCATGATATTGACTGCATCAGCCATATCCATGTGCAACCTGGTGGAACCCTTGCTGCCAGCGGCCTCAAAAGACGCCATAGCATTATACATTTTCGGGCCTAGATAGTAAGGTTAATCTCATAATTGTGCTTCCCCAGTAGTGAGATATACCTAAGTCTGGAGCAACTGTATTGGTGGGGAAATGAGATGCGATGTTGAGCGCACCATCACGTCTAACATAATTTGGCACTGGAACAGCTAAACTGAAGTCTTCAAAGAGTTCAGGAAAGGCAGATTTGAAATCAGTCGATGGTGGCCAGTCCTGCGATGAAAGGTTAAAACAAGCGATTTAGAAAGGGAATATCTCCAACCTTTAGCTTCCAACATTCCACTCTTCCTTCATATTTTCCAAACCATGAGAAGAACTCGCCCACTGTAACACGTTTATTAACGTCGGTTTGGCATTCGAGAATCAAACAGCTTTGTGAATTATATTTTTCGATGAAGTACTCCGGCGTCCACTGAATGCGGAATTTCGGCAGCAGACCAGTAACCACCAGTGGGTCCCCCTTGGCCCACAGAGGACGGAATACGTCTTCCGTGAGCTCCGAATCTGTTAGAGTCGTCGTAACGTGAGAAGGTATTTCCAGAGAAAGAACAGCCGCATCCTCTGCCAGAGGTTGGGAAGATGAAGATTCAGCATTAGCAGAGGGTGATGCCTTGTTGCCGGATGCTATTGCGGGAATGATCGAGGGCTGATTGGCTTCCTCGCCCGAAGGAGGCTTCGTGGAACCAGACGCAGCCTGTTCATCAGGAGATACTTGAACTCCATTGCTGTTTGGGGCCGATTCCAAGGTAGTCTCTGGTACTTTAAACGATGCCACAGTAGCAGAAGCGCCTCTCATTTCGGGAGTTACAGTAGACGTCGGTGGAACGACTTGAGAACCGTCTAGTGAAGGATCAATAACTCCAACGATAGGCAATGCGTCAGCATCTGGCTCTTCGAGCATTGCTTCCATATCCTTGATGGCCTGTGCAAGTTCAGCCTTGCAAAACCGTGACATCGGCGAAAAGTCTTTGGCATGATGCTCGTTCCGTCGGGTACAGGATAAAAAGAAAGGATTACTGTGCGCATGTTTCTCTCTTCTGACCTGCAAGGCAGCAATTTCGGCTTGGCCAGCACCAGGGCGATCCTCGGTCAATTCTTTCACTTGTTCGAAACATTCTGCACAAGCCTCGCGGCCACAAAGTCGACACATCCAGCTGCTCGAGAAGATCGAGGTCATGCAGGTATCTATAGGAATAAGGATTTATATCTAAACACCAAATAGTATGGATCAAACTTACCACATGTGGCGCGAACATCGCTCTCCCTTGTGCGACGAATGATCTCTGGGAAGTTTAGGTGGCCAAGCTCCTGACGTAGAGTGGGTAATAACGCTTGAGCTATTGTCCTCTGCAGTTTCAAATGCTCTTTAGCATTGCCTTATGCAATAATGGATGGGACTTCTTACCTTCGTCCGCCGAATGTGATGGGCCTCTAAAGGGACATTCCACTTTACAGGGAAATTCATCGTGGGCAAATCGGCTTTCTGATTCTCGACAAAGCTGATGCCAACTATGTTTCTTTGGCTGTCCTTCAAAAAGAAACGAATGCCCTGGAAGCGGCACGTGTCGCCGGCCCAACGACGTGTACATGATACACACCGGGGGAACTGCTCCGATCGATAACGATTTGACATGCAACGCGCAAATTGAAGTTCCGGATGAAGTGGTCCCGATGAGGTTTCGGGATGGCCACCTTCAGCGACGATTCGCATGGGGGCTGTGATATTGGGCTTCATGATGAATGTAAAACAAGCCAGATTAAACCTGCGCACCTTCACCATTCTTATCTTTTCCTTTGTCACCGGGGGCTTGTGTATAGGATACCGTTGGCATTAGTTGAGCTAGCATATCATCAGATCTCATCTCTAATCACAACACGTAAAAGGACAAATATACCATTCTGAGCTGCAATCTGAGCTGCTTCATTGCGCTTCTTTGCATTATAGCCGCGTTTCGATGACCCTAATCGTGACCCGATGAGAAGGCAATTCAAACACGTGTTTTGCGAAAAGTACAAACCATTCGCGTTATCGCCAGCAGCCTTCTTAGTCGTCTTTGCCTTTTTCTTGGGAGCAGGGGCATCATCAAGTTCAGTGGATGCGCGTTTCTGCATCTGAGGTGGGGGATGTGGATGTTGAAATACCAATGCAGGGAAGGCTTGAGCCGGATAAAATTGTGGCATGTTGTACCTAGACTGTTGTTGAGGCGGCTCCATGACAGATCCTCGGGCGGCTAAACGAACAGAAGCTCTTTCAGCAACCTGGAAAGCTTTGCAAGTAACAAAGATTTAGAGAACAGGAACGAGAAAATGAACGTGAAAGATATATACTTGTTTGCTGTACATGATTCATATGTTGCTGCTGATCGTGGTATCCGTGTCCATAAGAATCTGCAGCAACTGTTAGCCAATCTGCAACACTGAAAGCAGAATGATGCGACAAACTCTTCGGTGGGTAGTCGCCTGATAAGGCTGAAACAATGGATCAAAGAGTGAGGATAGGTGTGCAATGAATCAAACGTACCGGTGCGTTCATCGGAATACATAGGTGCAACCATAGATGGGCCGTAAGACATGTTTGAGGTGTCAGGAGGAGGCCAGCCCGAACTAGCCATGGCATAGTTACCCGAGTCATCCATTCTCGATCGGACTTGCCTGGGGCCATGATCTCCGACATCCGCATAGCTGTGTGGCGGCATATGGTAGGAGCGAGCGGTGGCACCTACGTTGTCTCCTTTGCGCTTTGGTATGCCCTGGTCGTCGGTGACATGGTCCCAGCTTGCTGCTCGGAGATGAAAAGATGAGCCAGATTCGACAGGGGCATTGAAGGCACCCTGGGGGGCCTGGTGGGAATGCTGGTACGGGGAGAGAGCTGTCGTCGATGAGATACTGGGAAGCTGAACGGAAGGAGAATAAGAAGATGATTCATGGGAAGTTCCTAGCGGATTGAGAAGCTGGCTGATGGAAGTGCGCTTATGCGAGTCATGCATGCCATTCATAATCTCGACAGGAGGACAAGATGACGGGGAAGACAAGAACGAAAAACAAAACAATGCGATGGAGAGCAGCACTTGGCTGGGAAGAATGTTCAATGAGCGCCAGGTGTGCCAGGAGCGGATGCGCGGAGAATAAATTATTAAACCTTATACCTTCGACTCCGATATCTCTCCCTTCATGCCGCTCGGCATAACGGCACCACGTGATCGGCACCAGTAGCCGCGAACCTCGACACCCATGGGACTAAACGACTATTTTGTACGAGCATCAGGCTGTACATCAGCCCCTGGGCCCAATTCTCTTTTCGAAAGACCAGGTGCTCTCACTATCACTGCCTCGTCTCATTTATAGACGTGGAGGCGCTCCTTATCCTCCTAGTCCACAAAAAATCACAGATACTCCCAGAGTCTGACTGAGAGAACCGCGACTGCACCCGTCGGATGTAGGGTGGACAACCACTTCTTTCTTAGATCCTTGCTCTAATCACAGTTTCGTCACATCGCACTGTAAAAACCAGGCGATCATATCTCGTGTTTGAAATTTTGTCAACGGCACACTATATAACTCCAAACTGTTAGTCCCCAAAATAAACCCCAGAACACCCAAGACGAAGAAAATAAGTGGACATGACAAATGAATGCAAGGGCGAAATGTTCACTACGTATATAGCAAGAGAATCGAAAGATGATTGTCACATATAAACCCCCATGGAAACCAAGAACGAACAAAAAGATGGAATCATCCTGCAACTACTTGCGGAAGAACGCGGCGACCTTCAGATAGAAGGATATGACAATGGGCATCGTGAACCAAGCAAGCGCTCCAAAGGTCGCCCTCCACCGTCATTGCGATGTGATCGGTGGGGTTGGATCAGACGAAACAGACAGATCTGCCGGCGGTGATTGCCCAACCTGTTTGCTGTCGCCGTTGGCCTCTGCCACATCTGATATTCGTATGAGCTTGTGAATAAAGTTACTAAAAACAATCCGACCTGAATGTGGTATGACAGCCTCAGGAGTCGGTGTATCAGCGTTAACTTCGGGTGTCTCCGTAACTGGAGACGCTACCACATAGCATCAGCATGGTTGATTGACCTACAAATCTTTCAAAGATGCCCACCAGTATTCTCGGCCGGCGTGGAGGGACCTTAAATAGGATGTGAGACTGCGGTCTGTCTTGATAAGATAAAATTTAACTCACTAGGACTGGACGCAGGCAGAGTACTATCCGAAATCGCTGCCATATTTACCGGTGGCGTTGGCGTCTCTCCGGGTGAATCATCTGCAAGTTTGTACATGGCTTGAGCAGCCGTTTCCGAAATGGTGTTCTTCCTGGCCAATGACGACGAGCGACTAGGAGAGTTGGCTGGCGTAACGCGTCCCTCTGGTACATGTAGACGCCGCGCAACATTCTGGGCTTGCACGGTTTGTTCGGTTGATATGGTCTTGACAACTTCTGGCCTAAGATCTGCCCACATCTGTAACGCCTTGATGGAGCCCCATTCAATAATCTTGTTGTTCAGCCATTGAAGAGACACGGGTTTGGTTAGGAAATCATTGCACCCTGCCGCAAGAGCAGCAACTCGATCACTTTGGAGAGATGAAGCCGTAAGCGCTACAATGATAACCGAAGAACGATATGGTGACACAGAATTTCGCGACTCTGTGGATGGAGCCTCGGAAGGTGTCCGAATGTTTAGGTCCGACTGAGGGGTTGAAGGTGTATAACCAGACGAGGCACTCAAGTTTTCCAGTCTCCGGATTTCTTTCGTAGCCTCGATTCCATCCATGACAGGCATTTGAATATCCATCTTTACACGATTGTCAAACTCAATGCTGATTGACCGTGAATGACGAGCTTACTAAAATTAGGTGGAAACCACCACAGTGCCATTTCTGAACAGCTTCCTCACCATTTTTCGCCACGTCAAATTTGATTTTCTTCTTTTTCATAAATGTAGAAAGAATAGTCTGATTGATGGGGTTATCTAAGAGAGGAACTTCGTTAGGTACCATTTACACTAGCAGAGAGAAAATATACAAACCATCAACGATTAAGACACTAATTGGTGGAACGATATTAGCGTCAGCAGAACCTTTTGCTTTATTTGAAGCAGATGTAGGAGAAGTTGGTTTATGAGAATCCGGGTGAACGCGTCGTGACCTTCGCGGCGGCGGGTTAGTAGATGGTTCCTGTGAAGGTGACCCTGGAGGAGTAGATGCTTTGCGCATTTCCATGGGGCTTGCCCTTCGAGACGGAGGAGGTGAGACAGGAGGTTTCGCTCTTGCATGAGAAGGCTCCTCTTTCGTAGGAGAAAGAGGCTTTTTGCCTTTCGTCTTCAATCCCGGAGACGCTGGAAGTTGACCTTCACTTGACTGTTGATCTCTGTATCCAGTAGGCACATTACCAGTGTGTAACGATGAAAATGAAACACTATGCTCATCAGTATCTGAAGCTCGTCGAGCAACAGCCATTCTGGGACGCTCTGCTGATGGTAAAAGAAATTGACCCTTGTCTCGCTCCATGCCAATGCCCCCTGATGCTACAGACCTCGTATTTTTCGCGCGGGGGTGGAAGAAAATGCCTGCTGGCTGACCATCAGGACTTTGAATGACAAGCCCAGAAGACGGAGATGCGCCAAGTTTGACACCAGTTTCAGGGAAGTACTCGATACTGTCGGACATCCCCAGAGGTGAAGGCGGAGCAAGATTATATGTCTCAACCATCATTTCTTTTGGAGACCTCGCAGATCGATCGGAATTGGTACGTGACGCGCCGACGGGTCTGGAAGAAGGGGATTTCGGAGCTGGTTCCTGTGTCATGTTGAGGTAAGGTGAGACGCCATGTAAACCAGGGCTTATCGGAGAAGTGGCAATGGGAGCGAAAAAAGGGTCTACTACAGGTTTTTTGACAGCCGTGTGTAATGCTGTCAAAAATCTACGTGGACCTGCTGGTTTAGGAATGATCATCACTTCAGGAGGCATTAAAAATGGAGAAGCATGGGCTGCAAGATCGCGTTGTATGATATCTTTGACGATCTTGTAATTAGAGAGACTGGTGAAATGAACGATGACGACAGGAGTGGAAAGAAATAGTGCTGATATTGGAAGTCCCATGGCTCGGGCAACGTGCGGGGAGGACCGAGGTCTATGATTCGCAGATAATGATGGCCTTTTTCGCGGATGTGAACCTGCCCCAGAGGCATGCTCAGAACGATACTTGCGCAAGCGTTCGCGCAAGACGGATACGTCATCATCAATAAAATCGAAGGATATTGGACTCTGTGAACGCCCTTCGCCATTGAGATATGGACGCGTGCCCTCCTCAGGATGCTCTTGCACATCTTCAAGTGCTCCGCCATAGGGTCTCGGCCGCACAGGGAAGCCTGCAGTTGCTCGACTCTCTCCGCTCACCGAGGATGTTGTGCTGTCCGCTTGACTGACATTGCTTTCCAATTCCGCCGACTCCGAAGAAACGTGGCTGACGTCCAAGCCCCAGGCGGTCAAGTAACTTGTGAGGTGGTGGGCAAAGGAACTCCTTACACTAGCATATAATGTTGCTTTCTTCCCTCGTAAGGTTTCCGCGAACTGTGACAATTCTTGCAAGGAGGGTTCACTGCCTATGCGAACGCCAGAAAGGATAGAACTAGTGTCTTCCACAACAGGGGTTGTCTTTGCGCTTATGACACTAGGTGAACCACGCTCGAGAGAGACCACGACCTCGAAAGTTTGGCCAGGATAAGAAGATTTCATCTCAGCATTAGGATCCAAGGTAGCCCCCACTCGAGCAAGTAGGCGTCGTAGAAGAAGTGAACCAAAGCTCGGCTTGATACGTTCGGCGATGCCAGAGAGCGCACTATTATGTGAGTCGTCCACAACAGGGGTGTCGGGGATGACAAAATTGTGATTAATTTCAAATGTACAGCGCAGAAGCCCATCCTCTGGAGTGACTGTTGGAAGAGTTGTGGCTCCTTCTGACGAGTTATCTGCATTTTCGACAGGCGGAATAACGGGGGATGCGATGGATAAACCGATCTCGATAGAATCTCCCCGACGGGCAGAAGTGATGACTTGGCGAACCACCTAGTGAAATATGAGATAATACGCTACTTAAAAGACGCCAACTCACATGCGACAGCACATAGGATAAACCGCATTCGTCTCCTTTAACCGCGACATGCCTCATACCAACGTCTCCGTGAAACAGTACAAGGTCCACGCCTGCATGGGCGGCAGCACCACTTAGAGCGTCACCAACACTCTGCAGCATCTCTCCGATATCAAAGTCAGTAGACAAGCACGATGGAGCAGTTGGACCACTTGTGATTGAAGCCAGCGAGTTTAGATCTTCGCATAGGGCTGGCATATTGGCAGACATGTAATTCAGGTTTTTCAAACTGGTGAAGACGGCCGACATGCAGGAAGTTGGGACCGACAACGAACATGCAGAGAACTGCTCCTTGGCTGGATCGAGGATCTGTGCTGGAGATATCTGAAGTAGAGTTTGAACGACCATCTGAACTGTGTCTGCAAGTTCCAGAGAAAACTCCTGAAATTTTGGAAGGTCTACCGTTTCGCTGTCATTCTCAGGTATTGGAGTCGGAGGCGTGGCGGTCGAGAGTGGGCTTCGGCGAGGATTCTGCAGGTGCTCCAGTTGCGATGGAAGAGGCAACGAAATAGCTCTGGAAAGCCGAGGAATAGTGGGGATTTCTTCTGCCTGGTCAGCTACGAGTTGCTGCGGTGCCCTCCAGTGATGGGAAGGAGCATCGTCTGAGCCATCGGACTGGTCTGTGTGCGATACCACCTTGCCCACTGGGGATGATGCTTCGACCTCTGAGAGGTCAGATTCACCCTCGGAAGAGCTGAGTGTTGCGGGGCGTTCTCCAGAAGGTGGTGGTTGGACAGGAGGCGGTGGCTCTGCAGGCCAGGTGATACCAAACTTGCTGGGACCAAGGACATCCTGACTGCCATCCTCTTGACACATGGTGGATGGTGCTAGACGGACAGCGATAGGAAGTTTGGCCCCACTCATGACAAGCTATTACAAAGGAAGAGGCTTAGCGCCGTATAAAAGCTTGCAGGGAGACAAATAAGTATGGAAAAGAGAGACAAGTTGCACAGAAAATGCCAGACAATGATGCGAATGTGGTGACGGAGGAGACTGGGGAGAGAGGAGAGAACAGGTTTCTTCTTATTGCTTGGACGTCTTTCCTCCAGTAATGCAAAATGCTCTCTTTTCCTTATTTGGGTCTGCCAGGCCCGTTGCACCGGCTGTCCCCGTGATTTGCAAATATGCCAGCATTTCGCGACCAGCCCCTTGGCCAGCCCGATGCCTCATGCCACACATTCACGTCCGATGCACTCCCATACGTGAGGTAAATAAAACGTAAAAACCATGAATTTCGACTCAAAACCAGTAAACGACAATACGATACGATATGCAATGTACAATCAGTAAGTCAACTCAACGTCCCCCTCAGCAACCAGATCCATGTCGTGGTAGCTGACTTTCTTTCCAGCAGCTGCTCTGGGATCTTCTTTGGCATCGGGCGGCGGTGGTGGAGGAGGCCCTCCAGCTATACCTCCTCCTCGCCCGCCTTTTCTACCTCCCCGTTCACCATTGCCGCCGATAATGGGCTCTAGAGTAACCATAGGCTTCGCTGGTAAACCTGCTCCAGCAGGAATAGTGGTTTCCATCGGCTGCTCATAACCTGTTGCATATCCACTAATCCTGTCGCTAAGTCGTCTTGCTGTAGTAGCCTCATCTCTTCGAGGGACGGGAAGCGCTGGTGTTGGGTACACACCACCCCCGTATTGGTACGCGTAAGGGTCCCAGTATCCACCACCCCCATTGTTGTAAGGGGGTGGAATAGCGTAACCCTGAGGGTGTCCACCGTAGAAAGAAGCGCGGCCATAATCGGGGGGAGGATACGTCGTAGGCGGCCCTTGGATACCATAAGCTTGCGGAGGAGGGGCCTGGCTGTTGCCGACGGAAGGAGGAGGATGGGAAAATGGTTGAATACGATGAGGGTCAAGAGCGAAGTTGTTGAAGTAAGGAACCTAAAAGTAAATTGTATTCGCTACATATCGCTTCCAAACAAACGGAAATTCTCACCTCGTCCAGATGCTTCACGAGCTCGGCGTGTTTATTAGCGATATGCTTCTCGACGAAAGATGTAGCCTTAAAGAGCTTTTGACAAGTCTTGCACCTGTATTTCCCTTCGTCTTCTTGTTTGATGTAAGGCTCAACTGCTTTTGTCAATTCGCTGGAGCAAATATATGAGATGCATGATGTCTTGTCGGTCGGAAGACATACTCATCGTAGCTTTTACCCCCATAGTCACGTGGATCAATACCATCGCGGTTAATCAGTAACGCGATCTTCAAATCAAACCACTCAAGCCAACGCTCGTCTTATGAAGTAATTGAGTCACCAAAATGTGATTCATACTGCAACACGTACCATTTCTCTTCCAGTCCCTATTTTCGGTAGGCTTGGTAGTTGTAGTAATACTAGCTTCCTTCTCTTTTTCTTCATCCTTCTCTTTCTTTTCTTTTTCAGCTTTCTCAGCTTCTGCTGCTTTCACCTCTTCAAGTAAAAGTTTCGATAAAGGTTTCCTCATGTGCTTCAGACATTTACGCTGTAATTCTTCAGCATGATCGGTAACAACGGCGCAATAGTAGCATGAGTGGAACGCTGCACGAAGGTAGGCAAGATACAAATCCAAGGAAATAACCGTCTGCAAGTACTTATCAGACGGATCTGGTCAATGCAACCGAACAAAAACGTGCTCACCTTCCTAGCCTCCAGAGCCTTCTCGTCATTAACATCAACAAGGCCCTGTTCACGCAGATCTGTCATGACTTTTTCAATTCGCCGCTCCACTGCCTCGGAACCACTTTCTTTCGGCTCTGGATCATCCTCGCCGTCTTCTCTGCCATCTGTCATCACTTCGTCCTCGTCTCCCCCTGCATTTTCGTTATCGCCAGTGCCTGCATTAACCTGCCCTTCTGTCTTAGGGGCCCGGAACTTGCGCAAATGGGCTGCGTCCTCTTCAAGAATTGAAGCGAGAGCTCGTGCGTTGGCAAGATCCTTTTCAAGTCTATCAGGTTTACTTGCGACTTCTGGTACATAGCGAACTCTGTTGATGAAGGGACGGAGATTATGAGTGACATGAAGTTTAAAGCCTTCAATCTAACACGGAACTTAGTAAATTAAATATATTGTGAAATTCATTTGATATTTCACCTTCTTCTCCGTAAGCTCAGACATGACAATAGCCATATCAGCATCGTCACGAAACCTAAGCCAACCTGCACGGTAGTAGTTGCGCTTTTGTAAAGGGTCCCCTAGAGCGAGATACATGAAGCCAGGGACTTTTCCACAAGCCTATAGATTGCAAGTCTGAACACATGAAATACTAAAGTAAACGGTGAGCTTACATCTTCTAGCTTTACTCGACCAATATCAGGAGGAATAGTTCGTATCATCACTTGGTTGCCCTCCGGAGGAACAGATATTTCTTCTCCGCGATTATTACGTCTGTTGTCTATTACGGGCTTGCCATTTGTCTCCGTTCTAGTCACCTCATGATCGACAACGTCTTCCTCAGGATCCATATTGAACTGCATTTCGTCCTCGCCATTGGCAACCTTGGACTCCTCTGCAGGGGCTATAGCAGCCGTAGAATCGGTAATATTAGTCTCCCCATTGATACTCTCCTTCATTGGAGAGGTGGGCTCCGCTTCAGATTCGTTCAAGTCAGGGTCGAACTTGCCCGACTCCAAGTCATGTAAGAAAGTATTCAAACGCCCTGCCCAGCCCTCTTTCCTAACCCTTCTGCGCAAGGCAAGATGCTCCTCTGAAGGGTCATACTTTTCGGCAAACCAAGGAGACTTCCTATGATGATCAAACATCGTTTGCAACTACAATACGAGGTAAGGAAAAAAACGTTTCAGCTAGCATCTCACAACACATATACATTAAAAGACTCGTTCCATATCGTGCAATGGTACACAAAGGAGGATGACGGCTTGCAAACAGATACTCGATACTGACCTGATTTGCCATGAACTCCTTTTTATACTTTTCCCAACGAGATCTGATGCCGTTTCGCGGCTTCGAGCCATCACCAGCTTCCTGCTCGGCTGCTTTATCTGCGTTATCCTCTTCAGTAGCCTGCTGAGGGAAACAATACCGGAACCACTCGGCATACTGCTTGAGAGTAGCTGGGTGGTCAAAAGTGCGAGGATCTGGGGGGGCGCGTCGGGAGGGTGGAAAAGGGGCAGCATACTGTCCGCGCCCTGGGGACCTATAGCCGTATGCACGGGAGTGCGCATCTAATCAAAGTCCAAGATAACGTCAACCGTTGAACAAAGACGGTAACGACAGAAGTGATTTACCATAATCATCACCATACCGAGGACGCGGTTCATATCTATCTCTCTCGTAAGGAGACATAGACCGACGTCGCTTTCTGCCTGCTGGAATAAAAGTTTCAGCACTGTAGCCACACGTGAGGAAGAAAGCAACACACTCTCGTCTGGAGGTGGACTGCGACTCCTTCCACGACGACCATACTCGTAAGTAGCTCTATCCCTCTCATGATCTGCCCATGCCCTCTCTCTGTCGTAAGGGTCCCAACCACCGCGGTACGGATCCTGGGGGTAAGCAGGGTCAGGATATGGCGGTCTCGGGGGGTGGCCGCCTCTCGTAGGTGAACGAGAGCGCGAATGGCGAGTTGGTGGAGGAAAAGCAGTAGTGGACCAAGAGGACATTATAGACTCTTTTTAAGAATGAGGAACTGAGAGAGAAATCAGAGACGACGTTACACGGAAGCTAATCAGAGGATAGGACTGAGAGAAGTCGAGCATGATGGAAGGACAGACCTCTTGGATCGCGATACTGAAAGCTTTTAAGGCTGGCTATTGTCAAAAAGCCAACCGGTTCAGCGTTTCACGCTCAATATGTTCGCGATATAGAACCACTTTTCCGCACTGCCGCTCTCCCTCCTTCCTCTTTCGCGCTCCGACTCAATTTCCATCCCAGGCCAGCCCGGCACCACCGCCTGGTCCGTGCATTGCCGCCACACATCTACTCAATATCTAGTATTAGAAGCTAGAATATACTGCTCAGTACATTGTCTAGCTGTCCACCGTCACCAACTTCTGGCCGCTCCTTCCTCATCTTTTTCCGCACTTCGTGCTCCGTCGTTTCCTCGAATCTTCTCTTAGATTCGTTCTTGGGCGCTTCCGCAGCATCTTCCCCCTTTTCTTTTCTTCTCGAAGCTCTCTTCTCTAGAACACGAGCCAATTCCACGTTTTTCAGGTAGTCGCGTTGCTCTGTCTTCGACTGCGAGAGCTCAACGCGCAGCTTGGCAGAATGTAACGCTGCTTCGTGTGCTACAGTACTATTAGCTCATGTATTAGTATAAAGTATGAAACCCACCTATTTGCTCTGTGAGCATATTCCATTTGAATTTGGGCAAGTACTTCATCGTCCATACGTCGTCTCTCCATCGCGTACCCTTCTTTCCGCCGATGGGTTGCGCATTCAGCATCTCTGCAACCGATCGTGCAATCTTCTTCTCTTTAAACTCCACCCACCCCTCCGTATAGTGAGCCTTTTTCGTGGTCGTGTACTTTTTCCTTAAGTAGGCACGCTTAGCATCTATCGCAAGACCAAGATGTCAATATATGTTGCTGAAAACTTGTGGCAATAACTCACCTTCTTGTTGCAAGTATACTCTCCCTACTTCGTCATATGCACTCATTAAATGTCGTACTTTTGCCGGTTGCATTCCAGGAGGGATACGCGATATGTACACCACACCGGTGCGCTGCTGTGCTGCGTTGAAAGCAACCAGAGCCTCCGGGGTCAGAGGCTTCACTACCTTGGACGGCCCAGAGAAGCCTTCCGGGTCCATACCCTCGATAATTTCATCCTCATACATCAGTGGGCCACGGTGAATTCAATAAGTTCTTCGAGTTAGGCAACAACGCCCGCAAATAGTAAGTCATGCATACACCACTAACGTCATGTGATCTGTGACAGCTTGTGACTACTCAAATATCTTGTTGTGACATTGCGTCCAACTCCATTTTCACAATGGCAATTGCTGTTGAACTGCACAGAGTTGCGCAGAATTTAACTGCAAAACTTTCTGTGCAATTTTTTAAGACAAAAATAAGGTTTTGTGCGTGCCATTAGATATATACAAGAAAGTCACAGGTGATCATGTGACGTTAGTAGTGTATGCATAAGCCCTACCTTCTGCTTGAGCAGCGCGGGTGTGGTCAGTTGAGATGGGTTGTGTTCATTGGTACATATTATGATATACATCGTGATAGCATGGAGGCACTGTCAAATTCGTCGTGTTTACTGGACGTGCACGATCACCATATGCAAACTAAAGGGAAAAATTGGAGCGATCTGCTATTTGTCGACGGAGCCAAATTTGTACCCACCGAATTAATCCTTCTCTTTTAAAAAAGCCTCAAGCTCGTCATCAAGCTCTTGTTGGCTCTTCTTCGGGCGCTCTCCCCTCCGTCCTCTGCCTTTACCCCGATCCACATCTCTACCCTCTTCCTCACCCCATTTAGGACTACTTAATCTGTTCGTCAGATGCCCTCTTGAACGGGTGGGTAATGGAGCAGTTGGACGACCCTCTCGCTCGTCAAAGTGCGCACGCATGAAGGACGTCCGTTCCAATAGCGATTTTCTCCCAGTATCGATATAATCGGAACGCATCTTCGAAGGAGGCGAAGAGGGCCGACCTTCAGACAAAAAGGCATCCAAATCGTCGTCGAGCTCCGCTTTCTTTTGCGTCTCCACCTCAGCAGCGTCCTGTCTCCTTCTTTTCACCGGCCCAGCTCCGCTTTCCGTATCCTTTCCAGCATCTGTACCATACTTTTTGTAAAACTCGCTCTCCTTCTTTGCACCCTTCTTTTTTACATCATCTCCTTTCGCCCATCGCATGCGTATCGTGCCCTTCAATCCCTCTCCCTTTCCAAGGCTCTTGTTTATTCGTTCTTCTGGCGGCCATATGGGGATTGGTATTGATTTAGCGGTGATAAAACCCTCCACATCGGGCTCCTCTACAGCAGACTTTTGAAGATACCTATGAGCCTTGCGAGCCGAGGTTTGTGACTCAAACACCAAGATGCACGTGTTGTCATTAAGCCATTCTAAAGCGATCGGATGCGCGTCAAAATGAGTAGCGTAGGCAAATAATCTTGCGGTCGGCAGAGACGATATTGGTGGGCCAGTGAGAAGTAACGCATTTGTGCGAAGCGACAAATCTATTTAAGAGAAAATGAAACATGAGCGAAAGTAGAGATTGAAGCGATAGGTTTATTCACCCTCCTCCATCTCTACATCATTATCCTCTTCATCAGCCGTGCGTTTACGCTGAAGAATCGGATACAGAGGGACTCTTGTATTAGACCCTTTTACCGTAAGCCTACAATGACATACTACCAGCGCACCTTGGCGACCCTTTCTGCAGCCGATTCAGAGAGCACATACACTTTGGTGTTACCAATACGGTCGAGAAGCGCCGCTCGCCCAGGATCATTCGAAGAATGGGTAGGGATCTGCTCCTCGTAGGGAACATCGTCATTATAAGAAAGGGTGGCGAGATCCGTTGTGTCTGCGCCGCCGTCAGGAAAGTTTTCCATAGTGAAGATAATACAATGATGGTAGTAGTGTAGACGTGTTCGGTGATAAGAAACTGAAAAGCAAAACTAACAAAGACATCCACGCATGTCACGTGACCATCGAAAATCATAGCTCCGAGTCTCTACTCTCAACAATTTCAATTCTTCAGCTATTCTCAGTTATAAGAGGCTTCAAAGAGGCTCTTAAACTCCCTTCCCCGCTACACATATCACATATCCCGTATTCATTCGATGGAGGGCGAGGAACCTGTTGTAAACAAGAACAAAAGGCATCGCAAAGACAAACGTAGGTGTGCAAATAGGGACATTATGTTCACTAGACTCAACGCTTTCTTCATTAGCATGGGATACAGATGACATCGACCAGTGAGTTTTCTCTTATACGTCTAGTGTTATACACATTCTCATGCTTTCTTTCCTTTGTGCTGCAGTGTAAGCTAGGAGTTACAGTCTGGAGCAAGCCGTACTGATGCGCATGATTTCAGTGGAAAATAGATGCCTTCCAACCTATCGATAACAAGGGTGGTGTATTCACGGAGGAGTCATCATTTGCAACGCTGTTCCCAAAGTACAGGGAGAAATATCTCCGAGAGGTGTGGAGTGCAGTCACTCGGGCTCTAGACTCACATGTGAGTTAGCTTCATTGTGCGCATTTCACTCGAGGATGGCGTCCTTAAGTGTAATTCCAAGGGTATTGGATGTACCCTCGACCTGGTACACGGCTCCATGTCCGTCAAAACAACTCGAAAAACATACGATCCTTATGTTTTATTAAAAGCTCGTGACATGATCAAGCTATTGGCGAGAGGTGTAGCAATATCACAAGCAGTTAAGGTTCTCCAGGACGACGTTGCATGTGATATAATCAAAATTGGCAGTCTTGTACGAAACAAAGAGCGGTTCGTGAAGCGAAGACAGAGAATCATCGGACCAGATGGGAGTACTCTCAAGGTATGTTTTGTATCAGCAGCCCAAACTCGGAATTTTTGAAGTGTTGTATTCGTTCTCCTAGGCCATCGAGCTCTTGACCCAGTGTTATGTATTGGTCCAAGGAAGCACTGTAAGCGTCATGGGGCCTTACAAGTCACTAAAGGAAGTCAGGAGAATAGTTTTGGACTGCATGAAAAACATCCATCCGATATATCGAATAAAGGTAACTCAAAATGAATATGATATCTTCTCCACCTTCTAAACTTGATAAAGGAGCTCATGATCCGACGTGAACTCGCAAAAGATCCCAAGCTAGCAACAGAATCCTGGGATCGCTTCTTGCCTCAGTTCCGAAAGCGACATCTCAAGACCTCAGAGAAGACTGCGAAGAAGAACGAGAAACAGGCTGTGAAAGATGAAGCGCGGAAAGCTGCTGGGTTGGACCCGGCACAAAAGACGGACAAAACTGCGAAGAAAGTCTACACACCATTCCCTCCCCCTCAATTACCTCGCAAAGTAAGGACTATCTTACAAAAACCCATATGTCTCATTTCTAACCGATGTCTCGCCGCCTGATAGGTTGACATGCAACTAGAGTCTGGAGAGTATTTCCTCAAGCCTCACGAAAGAGAGGCACGTGAGATCGAGCAACGTAAACAGAAGGTAACGATCGCGTTGTGGTCCTATTGAATCCATCAATTCTGAATACACCTTGTAGCAAGCAGAGACTACCGCCAAACGACAGAAAGAGCGCGCTGAAGTCTTCATTGCTCCGGTCGAAACGGCAGCTCCAACCGTTGGAGAGAAAAAGAAACGACGACTTGCTGAGACAGACGACGGGGTTCATGGTCATGAAGAGCAGTCTGAAAGCAAGAAGAAAAAGAAGAAAAAGAAAGAAAAGATATTAGGATCAGAAGTCTCATAAGCATTACTGTCCATTCTACCGCTACTTATTGCTCCTGTGCTTTAGCATTTTTGCGGATTTGTTTTGACCTTCCAGTCACTCGTATGGTACACTAGTGGGAACTGCATTGGTCTGCATCATATAAGACACTTAGTATCAGTTGCTAAGGAAAATTCGCAAACATATCTTCAAAGGAAATGGAGATATGCAAGCTGATTCGAAAAGTTAAGTGAAGGCGAAAAATAAATGACTGGGTGAATCTATACATGCCAGAAACGCTACAACAAGTTGAAAATGTTTGACCAAGGAAAAAGGTGAAAAAGAGCACCTCGACAGCCGCTATGTTTTGCCTGCAAGTCACGACAGACACATTAATATCGAGTATTGACCTGGGCCACGATTCTAGCAATCTCGTTGGTATGTTCTTCTGGACAACTCGTGCTGGGTAATTGCTGCGATAGCTGCACATCGCTGGCACTTGCATGGAATGTCGCGTGGAAGGTACTGAGGGTTACTCCTTCTGTCCCAGGCTGAGCTCCAAGAGAAGGGGAGAACGATTTCCGGAAGTTGATGATCATGCGCGTACTCAGAACCACTCCTGAAGAGTTAACAATACTAGCCAATATCCCCATGTACACTGCCTGCCCAAAATCAGAGCCTCTCCAGCGAACGAGATATTTTAAATAACTTACCGGAAGGCCAAGGTAGGCCCCTGCTTCGGTTGTGCACATCACAAATATACTTCGAGGATCTATATATTAGTATATAAGGAGACGAAACTGCCGAAAGATGAACGCACAATAGAAAGAAAAATGTGCTGTCCCTGATGAGAACCTTCATCATCATATCAGCCTTCCATCCTCCCAAGGCCCTACGTTGTTCTCGCACGTGCAGAAAACCAACCCAAACAGCCAGAACGAAGAGGGTGCATTGGAAGCACATAATGGGAATGTATATAAATGTCAGACTTTTACTAACATCTACGATGGTGCACATATGGATTCCCAGGATAGGCTCTGATACACCTATGGACAAAATGAGATCACCATTAGATGCTTCTTAGTTTCAGGAATCGGATATAATGTTTCAGCACTACTCACTTTTCGCTGGTCCATCGGGACTTAAATCCATTCCTACTGTTACCAATATAGCGACAACTTCAACAAAAAGGAGAAAAGACATGAACAAAGGAATTTTCTTCAACCGTTGGAACATGGCATAAACGCGCATGATGAAAGTAGCTGATTCAGAAAGAGAGCAGTTACTATCAAGGGGGAAATCCACATAAAAAGTGAACAAGCCTTGCATAGCCCACAGTACGACAACCGACTCCCACCGTTGCAGCCTAGTTCCTGCGTTACCTGAAAAGTTATTATGTGAAATACTCCATGACCACAATTGAGAACAATATACTTACAACTATGTAAGCATTTGTAGTATTTATATTTTCAGTTCTTTAACTTGCTACATCAAATTAAAGAAACATACGCCTGTAATATATCATCAGCTGCTGTATGAACTCATAAATAAATAAAGTAGGCCACTAACAGTATCTGACATTGATGTGCTAACAAAAACTGAGAATCGTCGATTAGAAGAGGAAGTGTGAAAAGTATAGTAACATACACGAAGCAAGATCGCTAGATGAAGATACCAGGAGGTGAGTAACGGCACCAAGTAAAACTAGACCTTACATTAGCACCGCATCGCCGACATATCGATTCCACCAATCACGACAACTTGTGAGAAATATAAATCATTAGTCAACAACGTGCTTACTGCGATGTAAGGAATTGTTATATATGACCATTTTTTCCCCTGGCACATTTGAACGGCACAATAAACACAAAGTAGGCATGAGTTCCGCTGAATGGTGAATGGCTGTACTGACAAAACGCACCCATACTAAATCCACCTTGTAATGATATGTCAGGCGGTGCATATAGGAATAGCATATATGCACAACACGTACCTCGCGCTGTAATGTCAGCGCTGTGACATTATAAAAAAACAATGATCAGAGCATGTTCGACTTAGGGTAACCAAAGCAGACCATGGCCATATAAAGCAACTGTCGTAGCAGATACTAAGAGCAAACATATAAGTGGCTATCCATTCAAGATATGAAGTGTAGTCAACTGAAATTGACAGAGCCTCGTTGCTTGAAGAATATCAGCACTTTTCCATAGGGCCTGAATCTCCGATTGCATGGGTGTGTATGCCGCTGTGTTACAGCAAGCTTTGGGTGCAACGGTGTAGTCTGATTTGTTTATATGAGTCTGACGGAAGAAAAAAGGGGGGACTGTAAGGGAGTAGATATATATGCCCAAAGTCTAACATATCCCACCTAGATGATTGCACGGCAACCATCCGCACGCCCTCATGGTTAAGAGTGGAACCAATTACAACGAATAGCTGCATCAACGTATAGGATGTGTGATTGTTAGGTCAACGCGTGATTGGCACAAGATCTGCCTGGAAATGGGGTAAAGGGACTAAACAGGAGTACTTGAATAGAAGCAAGTATATTACACTTACATTTGAACAGCTTCATGACGTGACCTGTTACCTTGGAGTGGACAGTACAATGCAGTGCCATGTCGAAAAGGGTCGAGTGGGAAGTGTCCTCTTTCATTCCCGTCCAATCACTGCCATGATGCATGATGCAGCTGGCCCCGTGCATGTCATGGCAAGTGAAGTGAATGCTTTGGTGACATTTCGATGCATGTTACCACAAGTGAGCGTATATGCTGGGATATTGGTTGTTATCATCCTCGCACACGGCTGATGATGGATTCCAGTTACTGCTACTTACTAGTACTTACTGGTAGTGTAGTCTGAAACTTGGGTAGGCGTGGAATAAGCCGTCGGTGAGCGCATCGGCTTTTGCCTCCGGTCACGTGAATAGTACCTGTTCCAGACCGCTACCATATATGGGACATTACGTCAGCTGTAGTGTGGTTCGGGCTCCAACAAGGTGTTCCGGCGTGGCTTGGACCCACTTCGCCTTGTTTCTCGCTCTTTACGACCAAGCAAAAGCCATGGCCTCCACCGACGTTCAATGGATGCCTGCTACAGGGAGACATTCAGTAAACATTGGCTCATCCCTTGGTCGCGCGTTGAAGGCACGCAAAGGCGGTATCGCTGCTCCAAAGAAATCTAACCTTCCCGATCGCGACTTTTATTCATTTCGATGTGAGAAATCCGCACTGCTTTCTCACTGGAATCGCTCTGAATATCTTTGCAGACAACTTCAAACCAGAATCCATTGACACGAGCAAACCTGGCTCTATTGATGTCAAGCGAGGAAAGGATTCTACGAGCGTCACTATCGAGCGTCCAAGTATACAGGTACAGTTACCTGTCGACTCACCGATTCACTGGCTTATTTACTCTAATAGGCTGGGGAAAATCATGTCTTCAAAGGAAATGAGCACTCAGCTAAAGAGTGGGAGTGTGTACTCATTTACGATGAAGAACTGGGGGTAAGTCGTTCGATTTAATGAACTAGCGAATATTCACTTGCACGCTTGGACCAGACTTTCACTCTGGAGAAGCTAGATTCTTTCATGGGTCTCAGCTACGACGGGCGGACCTCCTCCAGTAGCTCCAGTTTACCTCAGGCTTCTGCTTCCCGTAAGTCTATACTATGTGATATTCAAACGAGATCGTTCAACTTTCTGGTGTTCCTTGCGAAGCTTTACCACCGGTATCAGCACCGGCACCACCTGCTACTATTAGTCGACCCAAAGAGCCGGCTCGCGACCTCGATTTCGAAAAAGAGTTAGAAAGAGACCTACTGGGCCTCGAAGATGCTGATGGCGAACTAGACGATGGATACGAAGAAATACTATCAAAGGTTCCTGTGCGAAAGGAGGAAGAGGAGGAAGAAGAGGAAGAGGGGATTATAATTCCTCAGCCTAGGGCACCGCCTCCAGCGCCTCCCCCTAAAGCCAAACCTCCGATCACCAGCAAGATAAGCTCAAAACCTGAAACTTCATCTGCAAAAGAGAGTAAGTCAAAGCCAAGCAAATCAAAAGGGAAGGCAAAGAGGGACCACGAGTCAAGTGGAGTAGACGACTCGGATCTCGAAGAGGTCCTCAGCTTTGGTCTTCCCACTCGCCAAGCGAAACGTCCCAGGCCATCTTCACCTATGCGCTTAGCACTTCCCAACGCAACATCAGGGTTCACTTCCTTACCACCCCCTCCACGCCCAGCCGCTGCTCCACCTCGCCCCAATCCGCCCTCACCTGTCGCAGCTCCAGAATCCGACTCTGACGAGGATTGGGACAAGGTTGCTGGTATCCCTCCTGCATCTACCAACGAAAACGATACCAATGATGGCGAAGTCGAGGAAGAAATTGATCTCGATGCGTTTGGGCTCGAAATGGAAATGGAATTGGAGGAATCTGAAGATGACATCCTGGCTGCTGCAATGACGCCTGAGCCAGAATCTGCTACTCGCACTTCTGGTCCGATGTCTTTGAATCAGTATGCAGGTGGACAGTTCAGTCAGGATGAGGATGATAGTTCCTCTAGCGAGGATAGCGATGACGACTAATGCAGTTATCCAGACCATCACCCCGTACATTGTAGATATTAACTATATGTAAACTTTTGTACACTAATGTCAACGTTCTGAGGAATATACCACTACAAAACGTATTGCATCTGACATTTGTAGTCCACTTAGACGCTATTATTACAACCATGTCCATATCGAATTTGATGGGCAAAATGTATCGTCTACTTCACACGAAATGAAACGAAAAGGCTTGAATGGCTATCCCCAAAGGTTGACAGTCGCAATCGAAAAAATGAAAGAAATGGAACACTAAGACGGTTAACTTGTGTAGAGGTCAGCCAGCTCCCTCAATCACGTATTTTCACCCTATGGCCTCGTAAAGTGATGGCGCGGATTAGCCGTTTAGCCTGAGTAGCCGTCGGGGTGGCGCTTGAGGCGCTGGACGCAGCACTAGAAGGCTTTGCAGATTCCAGACTCGCAAGAACAGCGCTAGCCTGTGAAGGGGAAAGAAGTCTTGTCGTCGTACCTGATGGGGGGCTGGTGCTGGCGGACAAGGCTGTAGAAGACGATACCGTAGATGCCAACGTCGAGAGAGACGTGGTCGATAAAGTTGAGGACACAGTTACAGCAGTGGATGAGGTAATGGCAGTTGAGGAGGTTACAGCAGTAGAGGACGACGAAGACACGGTACTTGTAGTGGCCAAAGTAGATGTGTTGGACGTGTGAGCGGAAAGCGTAATCGTTGTAGCAGCTGCCAAAGATGTGCTAGAGCTACTGATACTAGTAGAAGACGAAGTCATGGTAGTCTGAGCCGTAGTGGTCGTACCACTGGAAGTAGTATTGGATCCTGGCCGCACTAATTTCCCGAGACTTTCTTGCTGGGAGTCGATGAAGACCAAGGCTGGGCCAGCTACAATTGAACTGGTGGCAGCATCACGGACGTTATTTAGCAAAGGCTGGCTGTCACTGGTGATGAACATGACTGCGGGGCCATTGATACCTTCGGGCACCATGCAATTACCCATAGGCTGTGAGATAGATATAGCCATTCCTCCGGCCATAGTCTGACAAAACAACTGCTGGAATGACAGATGAGATCAGAGTTTAAACATAGAATGTAGAATGTATGGTCGCTAGCTTACGTTTTCGGAGATACTTCCATTGATAGTATCGGCCTGGAAAGCGAGTTTGGATCCTGCCTGCAGAGAGCCGTTGGATGTAACGGTAAGCGCGGGATTGGCTAACAAAAAAACTTCAGGATCCCACAATCAACAGACTGTTTTGAATATGAGGATATTTACCGAGGACTCCGACATCACAACCAGACACGAAAGAACCAGCAATTGCAAGAACTTCTGAAGGATTTAGCGCAATGTCGAAAGCTTGAGGTATAGCGGATTGTCCATTGAGAATGTTCAATACTGTTTGATGGCGTGCTTCCACAGTCATTATACTCGCTGCAGCAGTCGCCAGTACTGGATTTGTGATTAATGATGATGCACCTAGATAGGCGCTTACACCAACATTCTCCACGGCACGGGCAGTTGCTGCCATTGTGGTAACATCAGTCAACGCTGAGGAGAAATTGAAAGAGCATCCTGAAATAGGCTGGCCACCCAACGCTTGAATGGCGGCCTAAAAAAAGAATTCATCAATATATATTGTTGGCGGGAATATTCTCCTTGCACACACCTCGAGGGTTGTCGTGTGCGTTGACTCGTCGCTTGCAATCCGCTGAAATTGCTGCAGGGGTACTTGTGATGAGACAAACCCAGCTGATTCGAAATCTGCGGCATTGAATGTCTCGAGAGCTTTGTTATAAAATGAGGTTTCGAGCTGTTCCAATACATTCGCAAATTCTGCATTGGATGGATCAGAACCACGGCAACCTAAAAATAATGTAACAGCTCACTTAGAACCAGCAAGTCCGATGAGTCTGAATTTGAAGACGCTCGTTTCAAGGGCAGAGCTGAAGCAAAGCCCAGAAACAGGAAGGGCAGCAGCGATTTAACAGGATGCATCTGGAGGAAGCTATCAAAGCGATACCCCGGATTGTAAATGAATGAATAAACAAAAGAAAGATGTCCAGGGGCGCAACCGGGCAGCCCAAACAGCTACGAGCAAGCTAATTGAACATTGATGCGGGTCAGTGAGGGAAACGCAGGGTAAGCTAGAGAACAGATACTGACCGTAGAATAGAAAGCGACGAAAACAAACGGCGGGGAAGCAAAGCTGAAAGAAACATTTGTGACGACGACCAAACCCTTTTATCTAAACGGCTTTCTGGCATGGGACTCGGACAAGATAAAATTGAACCGTATAAATTTACATCCACCAGAGTCAATTTGCAATTGGTAATCTGGTTCCCGCTTTTGGAAGTCTCATCTCTATGGTGACACGCAAAAACAGACCCTCAATGGTGCAAAAGAAAAGAAAAGAAAAACGAGTGAGCCAAGCTGAGCGATCGCACATGTTTCGGCTTTACAAAAGCTCAGCAAATGAAAATACTGGTTGACGACCATACTTTGTACAACATAGGGGACCTTTAGCAAAAGTTGACCGTGATCGAGCCGCACTCCCGTTGTAACTTCACTTTTTTCGTGATTCCCATGGTATGAGCCGTCCCGGCCATAGCGACTGCATCAGATGTCTTCTTTCGCCAGCCATCTGGATACCATTGCCTGCGCCTCAGCAGGTTTGTCGTGCGGGACGTGCACTAGGAACTCAGTCAATTAACACCGAAAACCCAGTAGCGAAAGGTACTCATCATATGTCCCGCCCCTCGAATCGTGGCAAAGGTCAGATTCCCTGCTTTCTTCGTCTCACCTGCCTTCTGCCCTTGCACAACCCAGTTTCTCCACTCTTCAACCAAATACGTTTGTTGTCCGCTCCATTCTAATTTGTCTACCCACAACTTATTCGCGACCCAGTTGCATTGCCAGTCATAGGTACCCGCATAAATGAGTACCCGGATTCCTCTTTCAAGGAGTCCGGCAACGTAGTACTGTGTCGGATGCGCCCATTTGTCCATGTGCTTGTTGAAGTTGCGACCTACTTCGGGAGAGCAACCTGTAAAATTTCCAGGGCTTTCAACCCCTAGAAGTTCTCGCGTGCTTGGTAGATCGAGGAAATTTCCAATGGCACCCTGTTCGGTGTAGCATAGATCATCACCTTCACACATCTAAAACACGGAGATTAGACTATTGGTTTCATCCTACTGAAGGCAGAGAGGACCTTGGATATATCATACGGATTTCTCCCTGCAAGTATTTGCTTAGTGATTGGCAACGATTAGTTTCTCTAGACAAGCATTACCGCTATCCCAATACCCGGTGCTGAGTTCGTTGTCACAGAAATCCACAGTAGCACGACAGTTCATAGAATCGAACTGGTCGATGCAATTACTCTTCATAGCAGCTTGGCATCTCGGGAGCTGAGAATTTTCTCCCTATTTTAAATACAATGCAATTTAAAATACAAAGAGCTTACCGCCGTCTTCATGCGAACACATTTACCGATTTGCTGAAAAGGGACATCCAAGGCCGCCGTACCACACTCGATCTCATACCTACCTAGATATAATCTATGGAGGTGATAGATATTTCTTCCGGACGACTGCTAGGTATGTGATGCTACTCACGTCGAGATATCGGTGATACCATTGCCAATCAGGACACTCTGGAGGTTCAAAGTAGGGCGGCCTTCTGCCTGGGCGACCTGATTCTTATCGTAGATTTCACTCGCGAACAGAGGTAAATACCGGCCCTTTTAAATAAACCAAAATAAGCTTTGAAAAAAACGGAAGGCATTCTGGTAAATAACGTTCACCCCGTAGGACTCTCCAGAGAGATGCAAGGGACGCCCAGTAAATTGCTTAAATGTTTCGAAAAAGATGGTTATGAATGCGTGAATGTTCTTCGCGGCATCTTCTGTAGTCTCTACCGTTTCGCCAAAATCAGCATAAGAGAAACCGACGCCAACACTAGTCGTAACTGTTGTCAATAATGACGTGAGTGACAAAATACAGAAGGGTCAACAAACGGCTGGTCGAGGAAAAATATATTTGCTTCCTTATTCCACGAATAAGGATTCCACATTGTCCCATTCTCAGAAATATTGTTGATGTCGATGCTACATGGACCTGTGCACAGTCATATCAATTTATGACTATTCGACAAGAATTAAATTACCGGACCCAGTTCAAACAGGAGGCCTGTGGCCGAGGAACATCCAGGTCCTATATAATCGATCAGGAGACTCATTTCTTACACGACAAGTCAACCACACCTCCGTTGATCCACATCATAACGTCATCTAGTACAACGTCAATAAGCGAGGTTTGGTATAGTACGAAGCTTTACCATTTGCCGGGTCTCTCCGACTTTCAAAGAAGTAGAAGAACATATGCTTCGCCCCATCGTCTACATCGAGGTAGCCCGTGTATACCCTAGCAATAGGGAGCACAAAATGCCCCAAGATTTCTATCAGGGAGGACACAAAAGACCGTGTTTACTCACGATACTGTGGGGTCACAGAAATCTGACTTCTTAACACGCACTGAATGTCGCGGAAACCGAGGATGAGACAGAGTCTGAAATGCGCTCTTCGATGTTATTGAAGAGAGATTAAGATAAGGGGTGATTTGTGAATGCTCGTATTTCAGGTTAGAGAGGTCGAAACGCGTCGATTCGTACAAGTCCTCTGAAAGTTGAAACTGTTTCTGAACACTAGCGCGGGCCAAAACTGTCAGAGAAGCCAAGGCAAGCAAGGAGAATGTTAAGGGATGCATCTTGACAGTGAGACTGAGAGATAAGTCGCTCAAACCCACACTCAGAAAGCCGAACCGAGGCTTTTTATATCGGGACCTGTGTATTCAACCTGTCAGAGCTTTTCGAGTTTAAGCAGCTCGATCGGAACGGTTCTCCAGAAAACATTCACGCCACGTGTGGTCAGCTCACGTGCCTGGTACCAGCACCTTCCCACGGTCGAAAAATCTTGGAAAAGTTCATAGCCAAGTCCCTAAGGACGAGTGCTCGTTTTCGCATATCTGGTTTTTCTATAGGTTTGGTCTGTGCACGGTATCAAGATGTTGGTGCTATATGAATCGGCGATGGGCTATTGCCTCTTCAAGCTATCTGACGCAGCAAAACTCGAGTCAGCGGATTTATACAAGGAGTTCGAAACCCCAGAGAAGGCTAACAAATTGTATGTCCAGTTTCCTTGCATTTCTCTTAATCTAATCTCTTACCATGTCTCACCTATTATCGCATGAAGATTGAAACTAAAGGCGCTTCATCGTTTTACTTCAACTGCGACTGCTGTAGAGGACCTTACCGCTCTGCAAAATGGAAAACTGGGGAAAGGTTTGAAGAAGTTTTTGACGGAGGAAATCGTAGACAAGGGGAAGGGAAAAGAACAACTCGTAGTCATTGAGCCTCATCTAGGTTTGTTTCTTCTATGATGCATAAAGGCGTTCCTCATTTTTTCCCGTTTAGCCCGATCTATCACAAAAAAACTCAGTATCAATGTTCAACCTCATATAAAGGATGATCACAGTGATCTGTGGAGAGGTATCAGAAGTCAGTTAACAGCCCTGCTCGATGGTTTGGACCCCGCAGATTTGGCAACCATGAGCTTGGGTCTAAGTCATTCATTATCCCGGTAAGGTTTTGACTTTTGGCACATCACCATATAATTTACTTTTTACATTATAGATACAACCTCAAGTTCTCACCAGAAAAAGTGGATGTCATGATTGTACAAGCTATTGCACTGTTAGATGATCTTGACAAAGAAATAAATATATATTCAATGCGAGTAAAGGTGCGGTTATTACGTATTTCATTTCCTCATTCTATGCTCAACGCCTCATTTTCCTTATAATCACCTATATCTATAGGAGTGGTACGGATGGCACTTCCCTGAAATGGGCAAGATCATAGTGGATAACATAGCTTATGCGAAGGTCGTCCGGACAATGGGTTAGTATAGACTGGACTGTTCTTATCAGCAAAGTACTCACACTTTTACACAGGCTTCCGCACAAATGCATCAACGACATCATTCGACACCATTCTACCCGAAGATCTTGAATTAATACTCAAGGCCGCCGCCGAAATCTCGATGGGTACTGAAATTTCTGATTCTGACATTCAACATATACATTCGCTATGTGACCAAGTCATCTCAATATCGGCGTACAGAGCACAGCTAGGAGAATATATCCGTAACCGTATGCAGGCCATTGCACCTAACCTCACGGCCCTTGTTGGTGACCTTGTTGGCGCAAGGCTCATTTCGCATGCCGGAAGTCTGCTGGGTCTGGCAAAACACCCAGCTAGCACTGTCCAAATTCTCGGTGCAGAGAAAGCACTTTTCCGTGCACTCAAAACGAAACACGATACCCCAAAATATGGTCTTATCTACCACGTATGTACTATATCACATACTCATTTTACTCATGCTCATCCAGTTTGGCGCAGGCATCTCTTATCGGACAAGCCCCACCAAAACTAAAAGGCAAAGTAAGTAATTGTCGCATATGAATTTACTCTCAAAACTGATTGCGTCTCTAGATGGCTCGTATGGTTGCCACGAAAGCAGCACTATCAATTCGTGTTGACGCTTTGTCGGATGCTGATGGCAAATCAGACGAACAGGCCCCTTCAATAGGTCTTGATAACCGTGCCAAGCTTGAATCTCGACTGCGCGCACTTGAATATCAAAGTGATGCGGGCGGTGTTCGAAGATTCGACAATGGCAAGAAGCAAGAGCGGTTTGAGATGAAGGGTGAAACGAAAACATACAACACGGCTGCTGATGCTGTTGATTTGGTGCCTACACAACGTGAGCCAATGGAGCTGGCGGTGCAAGCTGTTTTGGATGTGAAAGAAGAAAAGAGGAAAGCCAAAGAAGCGAGACGGGCAAAGAGACGAGCAGAGAAGGAAGGAAAGGAAACAAGTGATGATGATCAGATGGATGTTGACGGCGAGGAAGATAGCAAGAAAGAGAAAAAACGTAAGCGGAGAGAAAGTGAGGTCAACGGAGGGGTGGAACCAACAAAGGCAAGTTTCCCTGATTTCAAACTTCGCTATAGCTCATTTTGGTAAATCACAGGAGGATGGTGAGACGGAGGCAGAGCGAAAAGCCAAGAAGAAAGCGCGTAAAGCTGAAAAAGCTGCTGCTGAAGCAGCACAGGCTAATGGGGATTCGCCTAAGAAAAAGAAAAAGAAATCAGACGCATAGCCTGGAATTTTAAAGATGGCTCTCGTTCGTCCGGACACCGTAGGCCATTTCCAGGTTCAGTGAAGAGCAAAAGACGTCCTTGCTTTCTGATTATATCTATCTACCCCAATCACATTGGGTATCTGGTGTTATATTATTGTCATTGCAAAATTCCGGTTTCCTGCTGTTCTTACTTTCTTTAATGCATAAAAGTATGATGTTAGCGTATGCGCCAGTACTATGTATACCAACAAAACGGCGTTGTCCGGACGAAAATAAGTCTTTACTATAGGTCAGAGTAGGTGATGTGAATTTCTTATAATCGAACGACTGGCTAAGTGATGCTGAGAAAATACTGCATTCACACCAATTGCGCTTGTCTTTTCTTCCACCATGTCCTCTTTGCGACCAATTATCATTGTCACTGGTGGTAACACGTACGTGTATTGTGCACTATCTAGGTTTCTCGTCCGTTGACTTACCAGAACACAAGTGGTATTGGGTTTGGCATTTGCCGTCGCCTGCTTATACAGTTGTCCTCGAAACGTCCATTAGATGCTCAGCCACGATACCGATTCCAGTTCGAGCAAGATGATCTCGAGGAGCTCGAAGTGCCATACGACGGTTTGACTCTAATTCTGGCCTGCAGAAGCATACCAAAGGCAGAGGCTGCTCGGAGAGAGTTATACGAACTTGTAGATGCACATATCGCCCGCCTGAGACAGGAACCTGGTTATGATGGCCATGCGGATACTTTCCGGAGTAATCTGAACATAGAAATCCACAAAGTGGACCTTGCTCACGTTCCAAGCATATTTACTTTTGCAGACGAGATTTCTGAAAGGTATACTTCATGGTGATTTTGTCACTGCGGTTTTACTCATCTTTTTGCAGATACCCTTATGTCTCTCACCTCATATGCAATGCAGGCGTTGCAAGCTTCAATAAAATTGACTGGGTTATCTGCCTGCAACAACTGTTTACTCATTGGGTCACTGCTGTGACAGCTCCGATCTACTATATCCAAAACAAAGGCGAAATGAGTTCAGATGAGCTTGGTTGGGTATGGCAATGCAACGTGTTTGGACATTATGTTATGGTTTGTTCTTCTGCATTCTCCTCGTCTCTCGCTAGTAACACCTCTACTTTTACAGTATCGGTGTATCCAGCATCTATTGGCGAGGTATCAGTCGTCCACTGGTGCTAGAGTCATCTGGATGTCTTCGCACGAATCGACGTCTCAGTTTTATGATCCGGAGGATTGGCAGCTTGTAAACACGACTCACTCTTATGAAAGTTCAAAGTATCAAATGGACATGATCTCTCTTCACTTAGATCGGCGTGCCCTTCGGCAGGCCGGAGGTTCCACGAATATTCGGCACTTTACTGTCCTTCCCGGTGTAGTTGGCACCAACATTGCCCAAGTTCTTATTGGTCGATTCATGACTATCACTATGTACTTCACCTTTTACATTGTGCGTTTTTATCTTTTCAAGCGGCGCTAATAGCTGATTCCAGTCCTTCATATCCCAGGCTCGGTGGATTGGATCTCCAAACCATCTGATCAGCAGTTTTAAAGCAGCTGTCTCAGCTGTACATCTATGCCTTATTCCTCTCGTTTTTCTTCCTGTCGTCGGTGCAATAGCTTCATCTGAGGGATCTGCAATACCATCAGAACCAGAAGCTGGCTTCAAATATGTTTCTGAAACGGACCGACTAGGGCGAGAGCGTGTCAGGGCCGCCAAAATCTTACTGTCGAAGGACGAAGAGGAACAAACTACTAAATTGTTGGAGAACTGCGAGCAACTGCTTCAAAAATTCTGTGATGCGAAAGGCAGACCATTACCACTTGACCAGTCGGAAAATTGATGGTTATCTATGTTATCTAGTTGGTACATACCCTTATTCTTTATCATAATGTTAGTGGAAGATGAGGTTACACTGGAACGTAGTTCTACTAGGGTTTTTATAATGGATACACCTTCATACATCGAATATAGAACGAAACTGATAAAATGAATAAGTTAATATCAATGGGTGAAGCAATTCTCGAACAAAATGTTATGATGGAGCCTCTACAGCGAGTATTGGCTGTGACGATTGGAAGAACGGGATTGAGCGCATATTATTTGGAGCAGGACCGGAGGCCTCCATTTTCTTGCGTGCACGTTCGGTCTGCGGGGGTCCTCAATAAAGTACTATACAGTAGTAAGTGATTTGACTTACGATAGCAGAATTTGCCATTCCTCTCTCTAACCCTTCTAACAGCGTACAAGCCTTGCAGAGTTCATTGCTTGACATATATCCACATCTTATACATGTTTCTGTGGAGAAACAATGCGTTAGCGTGAGACGTCAAATAACAGGCGTTACTCACGTTGAGTCTTCTGGGCCGCCTTTACCTCCTCCCTAACCTCAAATGCTTCCCCGGAGTGGATGATGTCGATGATCGCACTTGGCCTTGCAGCCTCCAGATCCTTAAGGAATGCTCGTGCATGTCCGCGATAAGCATCTGGTGAATATATACACTCCGTCGAGAAATAATCTAGTTTTTTAAAGTATGCATACCTACAGCGCGATAAGTAAAATTGGATGTGCGAACGAACGGACCACATACATGACAATTTCTTTCTCATAAGCGTACTTAAAAGGTTTGGACCGTTTGATCGTGTCTTCCCCTTGTGTACAGATCATGGTACATCGTCCTAATCGTGCGATATCGCCGCGCATAACTATCATTCTATCAGCAAATATTGATCATCAGAGCCAGAGCTCCACTCACTGTTCATAAGTACGGTTTCTGCGATGTCATCTGCGTTATGACCCGTTACGATATGATCGACGTCGAGCATTGCAGCTCCTCTATCCAGAGCCTGTCGTCGGAATACACCACAAAATGTGCAGTTATTCTTTTTGCCTATCTGAGAGACTATGGCATCCATCGTCCAGCCATAGAGTTCGTCATATGACAATATTTTCAGGGGCATATCGTATTGTTGTTGGTTCCGTTTCACGGTCTACACTTTCGAGCAGAGATATTAACAGAAACTTGAAGTGAACAGCTGTAAACCTACCTCCAGAGAGTCATCTCTATATCCTGTTATCCCCTCATCTATAGACAATAAGAATAATTCAAGGCCGTATTGATAACGATCATTAAGAGTTTTCATGACATGAGCCAGCACGGTTGAGTCTGATCCATGATAAATACATATTAAAAAACTACGAGCGAGACCCTGAAGTGATGAACATCGTACCTTTACCACCGGATGCTCCTATGGCTACTTTATCTCCTTGCTTGAATAACTTTGCTGTGGTGATAGTGTGATGGACTTCCGTCTCAAATACATAGAAGAAACAATCTTTGCATATCTGCTGTCCGGTTTTAGGTCGTTTCAGAATGGCTTTTGACATTTTGCAGAGCGCACATGATGCGGGAGCCATGGATATAACAATCGAGTATAGGCTTCAACGGTGGATATCGAGGAAAGTCACCGTAATAATCCAAGCCTTGACTCAGAGTACAAGCGAAGGAGGCGGCGATTAGATCTTACCAACCCCTAACCCTAGAAAAGTTGTTAACTAAAGTGTGCGGGTCTTATTCCGAGCTCAACACCTACAGCGCTGTTCCAAAAACGTTGAGATGCCCAGAGAAAACAGGAAAAGGGGAAAGAAACATAAAAAACAAGCGGAAGAGCAAGATTATCCTGCTCAAAGTCAAAATGCGTCTCACCCAGTGGAAAACAAGGAGCCAGAGCAAAATGCAGGACCGTCTTGGATTGTGTCTGGATCAGCACAGGAAGAGATCAACCCAGAAGCACCATTCGGATATGTGGATGCTGATTTGAAGTCGTACTTCAAAACCGTAGATGCTCAGATTCGCAATTGGCAAGAAGATGAGTTTCATACCGAGGACAAGAATGAAGATATTGACCCAAATGAAGGTAGTTTATTTGAATCGCACTTCGCGGTCTATCTGAATCACTCTCACAGAAAGACGGCTTTTCTTCATGGCTGCCCTTACGGAGATGTCGGGAAAGGAAAAACAACTCGCGACAGACTCTGATTGTTCAGTCATATTAGAAAGAATGGCGTACTCAATGGACGACTTCGTACGCAGAGTTTTCATCGACAGCTTGAGTGGCTCGTAGGTTCCATTTCCTTTATGTAAACTATAACTATATGTCATTTAATGCCATTCACCTTACGTCCCACAGCTACGAGAAACTCATTCAGCACCGTTTTGCTTCACACGTCTGTCAGACGCTCTTCACGGTGTCAGCAGATACGATAGCCAGAGAAGTGAGTATCTTCTATGGACCGAGGCTGCATACTGAAAGGACTAGTCCAGAGGTATTTATCCAGAAGCCCCTGCATCTGCAGAGAAGGGTGAATTACGCACTTTGACACAGCTGGTCCTTGATATATGCCAAGTGAGTGAAAACCTATAGCATAGAAGCAAGTTCCTAAAAAAATGTATTCAATCAGGAACTCAAGCCAAGTTTTTCATCCCTTATTATGGATCCCTTTGCTTCGCATGTTTTGCGCGCCCTTCTTCTTGTACTATCTCCATCCCTACTCCCAGCCGATTCGTCAACAACCAAAGCTCAATCGAATTTACGATCTAAAAAGAGTGTTGCTTGGAAAGCGCGGCAAGGTGTCATGAAATCTGTCTTCACAGATGAGAAAGGAAAGAATAAAGTAATTACGGCGCAAAAGACACCAAAGGAGTTCTACAATGCTGCAGGAGACTTTGTACGCGCTGTGCGAGAGGGGTTGGGACCAAACGAGGTGCGAGCACTAGCAGCCAACAAAGTCGCAAGCCCAGTTTTGCAGGCGAGTTTTGCCATTCATAGAATATCGATCAACAAACTTATCGAACACATAGTTAATGCTTGAGATAGAGGCAGATCAAGGCGAATCTGCGGTACCAGACTCACTGATGGATCACGTTCTGGTCGGTATGATCACAGCCTACCGTAAGTTGACAAAGACTATCAACCTTCTTACCACGTCTAGACCGTTCATTGATATTTTAGGAAACGATCCTCAGGCGTCACCAGAAGTCTCTGATTATCTTTCGACTCTTTTGCGCGACCCTACCTCTTCTCACTTGCTGGAGACCCTGATAACACGCAGTATAGAGCCTGTATTTGCTATTCTCTGGTCCACATACTTTCAGGGGAAGTTGTCAAAGCTTGCTGTGCATCCTGTAGCGAACTTTGTTGTTGCTAAGGCTCTAGAACGGCTAAACGGTAGCCAGTTGAAAACAGCTCTAGATGAACTTGAAGGCACCTGGGAGAAAGTCATCAGTGAGACTCTTAACATACTAGTGTAATCCTTTATACTGACTACCAGCCAGAGTCATCAAGAGCTGGTGTTTTGCGTGCCGTTATCGAGAGGGCCATTACTCTTCGTGCTATTGAGGATGATGTAGTGAATGTGAGAACATGCTACTCACCAAGCGTGTCACAAATTATAACTTTAGTCTACTTAGGCTGTCTGCGCGGCGTTTGGTTTGACTGATCTTGAACAACGCAATCTAGTAGTACCTTGTGTATTGTACTTGATGCCACTTCAGGTACGTGAGAGCCTATACCTTATCATAGCAGCTTCAAGTATCCGATCTATTCATTTTAGGAATATCTTCCTTGGTCGGCTCAGAAAGAGCCTGCAGAACCCCAAAATAAAGCCAACAAGAACCCCAACAGTAAAGAACCCAACGTGCAAGGCGCTTTACTCCTACAGTCCCTGCTTCGACTTAGTGAGCCACAAAATCAGCTTGTAATAGACAGGTGATTTATATCGTCCTCTTCTTTGTCTCATCTTTCTGATCCACGTGTAGTATCAAGTCTCTTCCCATGGAAGAGTTGATGAAGATAGCACACCATGCTACGAGCTCCAGGATACTCGATGCCTTGTTCGAATCAACAACCGTACCTTTTAAATCGAAACGGAGCTTTGTTTTATCTCTGATTGGCCACTACCACACCTTGGTTGATGACCGCATAGGTAGTCGTGTAGGAGACCGATGTTGGGCATTTGCAGATCCTTATCTAAGGGTACGTCCATATCCTAGTATAATAATCTGCTTTACTTATTCATCCATTACAGGAAAAGATCGCGCGTTCCCTTATTTCGTATGATCAGTTCCTGGCTGCTTCATACTATGGAAAATTCTTCGCTCGACACCTCAATCTATATCTGCTACAAAAACGACCGCAGGAATGGAAGGATTTACAGTCCCAAAGCAAGGCAGCGGCAGCTAAAGCTCCTCGGGTTTCAGCAGAAAGGCCATCTATCCATTCAGTGAAAGAGCTTTCTAACGTCTCAACCTCGGAAGATAAACCCAAAAAACGAAAGCGACCAGAACGTCCAGGAGATGATATTGATGCTGTCTTCTCTGTCTTTGGAAAGAAAATCAAAAGAGGCGCTTTGAAGGACAGCCCGGACTCTCTTCTAGTTGAAAGACCAACCGAAGCCGAAAATCCTGTCCCAAATAAACGCACGCAGTTGATAGACGATGATTTAAAGGCTATATTAGGAGCTATCCAAGCTGTTCCTAAAAGCGAAAAAAGTCACAAGAAAAAAGGACGAGTTCATTGAAAGCTCTCTTATTTTATTTCAATAGAGTGTGTATGGTATGCTTATATACTCTCTCTTTTCTTTTATCTTCATTTTTTGACAGTGTACACCTGAATAGTGTATAGTGTGGGTATGAGGTATATATCAGTGTTAGCTACTATGCTGGATATGTAATATGTTGACAAAATGGGTGACACAATACGCATTTTTCCCTCGCTCATTACGTTGTGTGAATACATAATTGTTAAAAGCGGACAAGTTAATCTGCGACAATATTGTCTGCATTGTATTCCTTCTGTCATGCGTCCTTTAAGGTTTCTTGGTTGCTTGTGGGGTCTGCTTAGTGTCCAAGCACTGCGATTTAGCGAGGGTGGTGGAACTCTTCACACGCGACGGTTCTTCTTTGTTGGAGGTTCCTATGTCAAACAAGGAAAATCTGAAGTCGTTCATGGCCAGATGTATGTTGAACGTCTTACTCCTGCAAAAGTGACCCAGGACTTCCCGATCCTTTTTATACATGGCTTGGGCATGACTGGAAGTAATCTCATTAACACCCCCGATGGTCGAGCAGGCTGGGCGGATTATTTTCTGGCTGAAGGTTACGAGGTAAGTTTATCTGAAGCGAACTCTTCGGTCCTCCCCTATGCATACTTACGTCACATCACAGGTTTACCTTGTAGATCAACCAGGTCGGGGACGCTCTGCATGGAAGGAAGGTGTTGACGGTAATCAAATCACAGTTGGGGCGACGTGGATAGAATCGCACTTTACAGCGACTCGGAATTATGGTCTATGGCCTCAAGCATCACTACATACGCAGTGGCCAGGAAACGGAACTGTCGGAGACCCTATATTTGATGAATTTTACAAGTCAGTAATGCCTAGTCTCGTATCGTCCGTCGAGAGTTCTCTATTGGTGACGGCTGCTGGATCTAATCTTCTTGATATTATCGGAGTAAGTTTTGTCTTGATTGAATGCCTTTAATATGGACTAGACTGATGGATTCACTGTCAATGTTGGGCAGCCTGTTATCTTGATTACACATTCTCAATCTGGGCAATTTGGTTGGCCATTGGCGGATGCACGCCCATCGAAGGTCAAAGCGATTGTGGCTTTAGAGCCTTCTGGGCCTCCCTTTGATAATCCCAGTACCTTGTCCGTGTCGTCGCTTGTTCGGCCTTATGGTCTTACTGAGATCCCTATCGCGTTCGACCCTCCCATATCCTCTCCTGCGGACCTCAATTATCATGCTGTCAAGGTCACGTCAGACTACACCTGCTATCAACAAGTACCACCAGCGAGACAAATGGTAAATCTCGTTGACATCCCCGTTTTGGTTGTCACAGCCGAAGCGAGTTACCATGCGGTCTACGATGATTGCACTGTGCAGTTTCTGGCTGAGGCGGGCGTAAATGTGAAGCACGTTCAACTCGAGGATGTGGGTATTCGAGGAAATGGGCACATGATCTTCATGGAGAAGAATTCTCTACAAATAGCCGAAGACGTTATCAATCGATGGTTGCAGCAGAGTCTCACCTCTTCTTGTCTCGCCTTCGACCTATGTTATGCCAGCTACTTCGAATTTTCCCAATCGTGCCTTTGATTGTCATATGATATACCGACAGTGAACAATACTGTATATTAATGTCCATGGAAATTTTTATCCCAAATATACAATCAACGCTTCAGACGCTGCAACAGACACATTGAAGGTGCCTCCACTGACAGCCGCTTGCTCGAGAGACTGTGCTCCTACAAGTTGGCACGAACTGTCGAAAGTACCATCGCCTCCGATTGTCACGATGCCACCTTCACCGATGATGGCGGTCGCATTTTGGGCCGTCATCCGCTTAGTATTTACCAATGAGGTCGAGGAAGGTAAGCCACTGAAAGTAACTGATGTGTTTGTTCGCGTCCCGGTACCATCGTAATAGTTGGAATTGTAAACCAACAAGCGTTGAGGTGCACCATTTGCAGAATAAACCGCATAAATTCCTATGGGGCCTGTTCCATCGTCAAGCATAGCGAGCTCTACTCCATCTGTACCAAGAAAATCGGAAACGAAAACCGCTCCATAGTATGGTGCGGCCACGGAATCATTTCCCCAGAAGCAATAGGGCTAATGAGGAGCATTAGCCAGCGAGTTAGATGAAGGGGCACTAACTTACGCAAGCTGCAATAGTTCCTTGGTGGAAATAAAGACGGTCGACATTGTTTAAAGCGCCTTGGAGAACATAGTCCATCACCCAAAGGCCTGCACCAAACATGGGACTTATTCCACCACCCCCGCAAGTAGCTATCGCAATGAAGTTGTTGGTACGACATGTTAACACGTGGAAGATATGTACTTACCAGAATTAGTCTCGCCGAGGAAATAGACCTTGCTGACATTGTGAGCAGCCGCGGCCTCGGACTTGTATTGTTCAGTATAAGATACAATATCGCTAGAACGTGACGTAACCTTAATGGTGCGGCTGGAGTCGAAGGTTTCGAGGACTTACGAATGGCTCATCAACTGCGTCAGGTTCGTACTTGCACCTCCGCATGCGGACTGGGGATATGAATGGCCGGAGAAGGTTTTCACATAAGTGACAGCCGACTCGAGCAACGGAATGATTCCAGCCGTGCTCCAAGTAGGATACTGGAGATAAACTGCCGCTTGGAACATATTCCCGATCTGTGGGAAGACATGAGTTCTGGAAGGACATAGGCGGGCAAAAATCACTCACAGATGGCGCGAAATCGGTGAACCAGAGTTTCTGGCTTTCTCCATCTGTTGTCGGCGTCCATGTGGTCCCTGAAGGTATGATCGGGGATGTGGAAGCCCAGACTATCACCCAGTTTAGATGAATTCATATAACATAGAGGAAATACAAACACTCTGGTTCATTTCCGAGCTCCATTGCCAATAGATTTGGCATAGTTCTTAGAGCTTGTTCGGCGCCCTCAAGGCTGTTAGTCTGGTTGTTGAGTTGGCGATTAAGGCCTACGGTGACTTCTCCTTTTAGTTGCGCTGCTAGGGAAAAGAATGCAGGTCCATAAGTGAGAGAAGCAGGGGCATCGACCGGACTGGCAACAGTATAATTGACGGGTTGCGTCAATGTTGGATCATAGGTTGCACGGTCTCTATATCGATGAATGAGACTGCTAATCCGCACAAGGCAGCGCTAACTTACTGAGTGGTACCCCCAATTCGGATAGCTGGCTGCGCTCCTCGTAGAGTAGCGATATTATCCAAACAATTGGTTGTAGCGGATAACCTGGTGTACTCAGGAAAGGCAAAAAATTCAAGAGAAAGGCTTAAAAGAGAAGGATTGACTGAAACAGCAGTCGACGGAGGGGAGGTTGGGATGCTGATAGCTGATCCCGTATGACCCCAAGAAACTACAGCTGCCAACCCAAGAAGTACATGCATATTGGGGCCCGTACTTGCAATGCTGGGACAATATAACACGGCATTTTTGTATCCTTAGCGCGGGCCGCGCTCGTTCAATGAACCAAAGGCTGAACAAGGCCCATGACCTGATATAAATGCAAGCACAGCGACGAGAAACTTACCAGTGTCACAAGCTCCATGGTCCTCATTTTAGAATCTATTGATTCGACAACTTCAAAGTCAGACAATCACACGAGAAGCAGGGAGTAAGGATGAGATGTAAAGCGGGCCGCGGCGTGGAATTGCCCCTGAGAATTTCTGAGGGTATAATTCCAGTAGAAGCAAGTAATACGAGATCAAGATCATGACATATCGACGTCTTGAGGTACATCTGGTCGTGGCTCTCCCCTAGCCACTGAGTTCACCAACTCTCTCCGAACTTCTGGACCGATCTGTGCATGAGGATTTACTCGTATTACATCCAAGAGAGCATCTTTTTGATCCGGAGTCAAATCAGGAGAATATCTGATAAAGCGTGTATCAGTAAACAGAATACCTATCAGGAAGTTAGCAGACCTCTGACAGAAAGCTAGGAGACTCTGATGCCATAAAACAGGTAGTTTCTCGGAGTCACCGCGGCCACGGGCTTTGTAAGTATTGGAGAGGCGGATAAAATGGAATACCAGGGAATCAACCACTTTGTATGGCAGCTGATACTTTTTGTCTATAAGTACACGAATGAATAAAGAATTGGGTCCTGAAGATTTGTGTCAGAATGCCAAAAGAAAAAGACAAAGACAAAGCTACACCGCACCGGTATAGTCCATTTCGGCAATACGCATCAACGCTGCTGAAGAATGTAACACTGGAACCTTTTTTTTCGCTAAAATAGAAGCGATGATTGCAGCTTCCTTCAAGCTGCACCCACTCTGAAAATCATGAGCTGGCTCGTTCGGCATATACGAGTAGTAAAATGACACACATCTAACATTGGGAACACAATCCCTTTGAAAAAAGCACTAGGCTTATACAATGCGCGCTTTAAACACTCGTAATAGTGCACATTGAGTTTTTTGTTTTCATTGATGTCTTCCCGGATAGCATCCAGCAGTGACTTAAGCCCCTCACCAGTTGCGGATGCG